ACATCCACAGCAGATAAGGATGCAGCGTGGGAATCACGATAACTCCGTCTGGCATTCGGCCCAATGTGAATCGTCTACACGTGTACGATAACAAAGACGGCGCTTGCTTGCTTGCTGTTGCCGAGACGACGGTGTGTGTATGTGTTTGGGTTTGAGTCGAGGGCGTTCACGCCCTTTCATCGTTTAGCTCATCACCTGCCATGCGACCCGCGCAGGTAAGTCACACACCTAAGTCACACACGTGTGCGGCTCGCGCGCCCTGATGAGTCATGCAGGACGAACGCACAGCGCCCTTCCTTAAAAGCAATGAGGGCCAGAAAGGAAATGGCCAATGTAAGCAATAAAACAATAGTACCTCTTATACCTTCAGCACCGCACATTACTGGTTCATGCACTCCACGTCAACACCTTCGCTGCCTTGACAATTCAGCCATTGATAGTAACACAATCACAGTCGTGTAGCTTGATTTATATAGTAGTTTATAACAGCAAATTACCCATTTGTGTGTGTGCGTGTAGGGAATATAGCAATTTCACTGGATGCGAATTGTACGAGTATAATTTGTAAACTTGTGTAAAATGTGTGCAATTTACGATTCAAACTTTTTATTTAAAGTGTAATGTGGATGGAAATTCCATGTCCAACGGTTGAGCAAAAAAAACATTAAGGACAGAAATGTTCCACAAGTGATTAGCTAGTAACCGTAATGCAATTGTGTGCGAGATGAATGGTGAGAACCGAGCCAATCTTAACATGGCTCGAATAGAATCCTACAAATTATCGTCTTATCACCTGGGCATGGCCCTTCCACGAATGAAGGGGGGAAATCTCCGGCTGGCATGCGTTCACTGAAACAACAATGATACCACCGAAGGGCAAGGCGAATGGAAAGTTCAAAACCAGGATTTATCATTCGGAGACCTCCAGGCAGAACGTCCTCGTTATCGCTTGTAAACATGTACACTATGTTGTAGGCTTCCAGTGAGAACGTATTCATCAAACAGGGGTAATAACATCTCAACTGCCAAGGTTACGCAGTGACAGGGCTATAAGTTACAAACAGGCAGGGTTATTCCCTCCCATCAGCCTTTATAATCTTTCATGCGACATCAATAGATTTGTGGTTTCCAGCTTAACCTGGGCCCTGAAAAAGTGTGGTTTGAGAAGCTCAATTCTTTATGTATTTGAGGAATGTTTGAGTGTTTCAGTTTTGTAGTCTGGCACTCATGATGTACAAAACGCCTCACACTTTCGGCTTCACCCTGTGGTTGGACTAATGCCAGCATTTTGATTTAAAGCTTTCGTGACTGCAGGGAATTCATAGTCTTGGTTCTTTCGGTAAAGTCACGTAGAAGGGAAACAATAAAATAATACAAATATTTTGTTTTATATTTTTAATATTTTATTGTTTCCCTTCTACATGTACACATGATGACAATGTCAGCATGTGTACCAGAAACTAAAGATAGGGGTGGTGCTGCGGCAACGAGCTGTTATTTCCCTCTGTCGGTATAAGGACGTTGTGGGTTCGACTTCAACCCTTATTCCCTCCACATTTAGAAACATACGTTTAGGGTGTTCGGCCGCTATAATTTCCACGTGATAAGCCATTTCGTCAAGCATTCATTCGTGGCCAGGTCGCTCCTGAAAAAGAGCTAAAGAGCTCAGTGGACTTTACCTGGTAAATAAACGTTTATAATTTTAAAGCTAAATCAGCAATATTCAGACTTGTGTGCTGCCAGCTTCATTTTAAGTATAAATAATTATCTTACACTGTTCCCCACAATAGAGGCAGTGTACCTCTTAAATGCACGTTACTGTGTGGTTATGATTATGTGACTGCGTCGGTGTTTTTGTTTGTGCCGTGTAGCTCTCAAGATGTATTTTTATTAAGCTCTCAATACGTGGAGCGAAACCTCAGACATCATGCCGAACAACACGTGGTAGAACCTTCAAGCAGAGAACAATAATTTATACGCACAAATATATATTTTCACATCATCTCTATGCATGAAATCAGATTGGTAAAATACAGTACAGGTTCACTTTGCAGTATGTCTTCATGGCTGTTAAAATGCGCAAAATAATACAATAAGTGTTTTCCAGAAAAAAACAGAATGACAATACAGTACTTTAATTTGGCGGGTCCTGCATTGGGATGGTTTTCCAATTTCATTAACGAGTGGCACTACAAACCCAGATAAACATGTAGGGTACCATAGATTGTTGAGTAAAAGTATTACATCCTTTTTTTCACGTGATTAGTTAGGTCTGTGAGTGCTCTGACGTAATATTAAACGAAACATGACAAAAAGAATATGGCAAAGTTTTCTAAAGTTCCAACTTTATTGAACATTGCAAATTCAAATTGAAAACAGCAGCGCACAGATAATGGATTTCCAAGGCATATAAAGGATACATATTGTATGCGAGGATAATGTCATAAGTACAAAGGAGTCCTAAAGTACATGTGCAATACCAGTTATTACCAGTATTGCGTAATTACAACTGTAATCTTAATCTGGAGTGTCAAAGGCAAAACGCTTTTTGCTTTGGGTAATGGCCACGTTTGAAATTTTGTTTCCTATCTTTTAAGTACAGTTCTGCAGTAAGAATTTATTTTGGGGAAATTGTGTTAGAAACGAAAAGTGGGAGAAGTGACTTAGCCTTTACACTGCAAAAAGCTATAATATATAAATAATGGCTTAATAACACACCTGTCAACCCATACGGTTTACCCGTATTCTTGTACAGAGAAATGTAGTTTTCGGGTCCATACGGCGTACGGCCGTTTCAATACGGGCAACAACATGTTTTTGTTTATTTGTTTGTGTTTCTCCCTTGTGATGGGACTTTGTAGGATGAACGTTGAGATTTATAAGGGGACGGGGTGACCAAAAAGGTCTGAATTGGTCTGTAATAAGGTAGGCACTGATAAGGGGTTGGCAGGTATGTAATAAGGCCAAGTGACTTGCTCAAAGCTTTTACTTAACGTTAGACATGTAGCAAGCCACTGTTAGTGAACAGAAATATTGCAAAATATATTACTGCTATAGCAAGACATTACAAAAATATTTGGATGATATAACTAATATACTGCCAAAGCAAAAAAAAATAATTTTCAAGACAAAAAAGCATTCATAATGGAGTCGCTTTATACAGTAATACTCTAGTTTCACTTATAATAAATATTGCATATACTGTACTGTAGCAAACCAAAATGAAACATTTTTTAAATGAGTTTACATAAAAGATAATTTTACAAACACCACTATGAGTTGAGAATGCTTTCTATACAAAGTAGCTTTGTTTTTATCATATATATTTAAACATTTGAAGGATTTTTTTAAACGTTTTATTTGTTGAAATTTACGTTATATACAACAGTGCAGCAGCTGCGTAGACATCTGAGATATTCCAGCCTGTTTTCTTGATAAGTCTAGAAAATGAACACTTTATGCCTAAAGCTAGAGTTTTAACCAAAATTAAAATTGGGTAGATATTAATAACTTCGTTTTAATGTTTAGTTTAGTTTGTTTACGGTTAATATTTAATCACCCAAATATTTTCGACCAAAATTATGTGTGGGGACAAGCTCACGCCGATTTGTTTTAAGAACTGTGGGGAGCAGTTTCATACAATTCAATTTGCTCAAATGTATCATTGGAGTTTGGTACACCTGCAGGCATTGATGGGTATGGTGTCTTTTCCCAATCCCTTTGACGATTTATTGGAAAGCACACTATATCATCACTAAGAGTACTCCCCAGTTCACATGCTACACTCGCTCTTCACCCCCAACGCTGCCTTTAGATGCACTCAAAAGATTAAGGCACTCCGCCAGGGGAATACCAGAAAAATAGTGGTGATTAAGGCAGGAAATTATACACTGTGACACTGGTTACCACCATAGAAATTGGGGGCTTTTCAACATCATCATGGAGAATGTATGGTTTGTCATTTACTTCACCGGCGAAATTATGTACAGAAGCATAGACCGCAAGGAGCCTTTGCCTATTGCCCACATAAAGCCAAAGGGAAATACTGGAGAAAAAAAACCCATTTGAGATGCTGTGTTGCATCTTTAAACACGTGGAAAAAATAAGGCTATTACAATAATGCTGTGATGCAAAAGCATATGCGTCATCACTTTGGCCATCGGGCCTTCACCAGAACATTGACTAGAACCTTTTATAGGCCTTTAGATTACAAGTCTGCCGGGTTTGCGTTTGTATCATAGTAATAAATTGACAAATGTCACCTTTCTGCTGTAGTCTGCTATACATATCATTAATATGAGACCATACTATATTGTATTGGTCACATCACACCTTTACAATTGTTAAACAGTTTTACCCTGCAGGGATTTTCGAAGTGACGTAAGTAGGCACTGCAGAATAACATAGAAGTAAAACACTGTCCACCTAATGTAATTTGCTTTCAAAATACTGGCACCTTACACTACAAGTATTCTGTGAAAATGTTAGAAAATGTAAGATTGAAAAATTGTTTTTGCCCTCAATAGTAGACGGCTATTCACGAATGTATAACGGTTCAGAGCACATTCATGTCCTTAAAAGCTGCATGCTTTAGAGTTGAAATGAGGCAAAGCACAATGCCACTGCATGGTTAATGCATGAAGAATGAGCAGATATTACATCAAATAGCTGTCAGATGCACTGCGTTTCTCCATCAAGTGCCAATTTAGATAAATTGACTATCTTCCGTGTTGGTAATTGTTTTGTAAATATTACGAGTAACATGATTCATTTCCAAAAATATTATTTCTCACATTACCATGAGCCACAATAGAGCAGAAGGAGGCATTCTGAGATAGTTCAGTAGTTTTGATTTCAAATCAATAGCATTGGCAGATCAGTAAAAGTTAAGATCTATTATTCAAAAGCAATACGTTCATATATGAAATATTGTTTTACACGTTGATTGAATAACATGTATTTTCTCCTGTCAAATTTCAATCAATGTCGGAACAAAGAAAAACATTAACAATAAAACATTTTAATTGCATTCTGAACTTAAATAACAGAGCACACAAATGAAACTGGCATCGTATTCATACAAGGATCAATAACTCAATGAAAGCAATAATAATATGCAGGTTATTTTGCATATCAGCAAATAAAATATCATGGCTATATTAAAGTTCACTGAATAATGCAACACTGACTGTTTCATTGGGAGGCTATTTTTTAAAAACAGAAATAGTTTCCTCGATGTTTAAGGAACTTCAGTTTAATATACACATTATGTCACACCATTTACCATCATCTTTAACCAGTACAAATCCTCCAGAAACTGTGAAAACTTTATCAACTGCCTAACTCGGCAAGCCATCCGTTTCTTCTAACACCGTCCCTTCCAATAACATACAAAACATTTAGCAAGAAAGCAATGGTTTAGATCTTTTTTTTATTCTAATTTGCAATCAAAAATAAATCATTCAATCAATATTATATTGTAAGAAATATGCTTTTCTCATTACAGTCTTGCATAATAAATTCTACAAATATCTGCCTTTGCTGTCGAGAGAGCTCCGTTAAAAGAATGCCCCTTCCCACGACACTCGCGGCAACGTTGCGGAAGCTCCCTCTCACACCCGCTTCACGTAGTTGCCAGGGAACGTCCCAAACAGCCTTGTGCGTCTCGATGTACCTGCGGAAGCAGTGGAAAAAAAACCCAACTGTCACCAAAACAACGAAAACCCATTTCCGCACGCATTACGTACAAAGTGTGTGACCTTGCCGATCTCGTCAACGAGCATGGGCCATAAAGCGCAAATTCCGGTCATCCTCGCAGCGTGCGTCTTCTGCCTAGCCATCGAACAAAAAGATTGCCACTGCATTGCGCGCTTTCAGATGCGTTTCTGCAGCCATCTGGAATGCTCTTCCTTCTGATATGAGGAAGCCACTGGAACTATGCACTTTTAAATCTAGATTGAAAACTCATTTATTGACAACTGCTTATGTTCAGCTTGTTGTCCTTCCCTCGCACCTCCGATTAGAATGGTTGGCTGCGTACGGTGCGAAAGAAGTTCAACGTACACATGAGCAGTCTGAATGCTGCAGCAGGCACATGCCTCTGTTATTGGATTTTAACAGTATTATTCAGTCCCATATAAAGGTAGGCCTTGCTTTAAATGAATTAGTGATACTGTAATAATAACGAAGATGCTTTCCGCCATGTAATGGTTAAAGCGTTGGACTTGCAATCTTGGCGTGTAGTTGAAACAATGGGCATGTTTTGTCGTGCCAATGGGTAATTTGTGTGTATATACAAAATTAACCAAACATGATTGCAGTCTTGCCACTCATTGTAACGCTAAATGCCATGCTTATGCTGTAAGTGTGTGATGGTGGTGTAGAAATTTTAGACATCTTCATTAAGTTTAAATGTAGCCATGAGCTCTTACCTACAAACCAGCCATCGTCACATTTCTCCATCACCTCCACCACGTCTCCCACCAGTAGCTCCAGCTCATCCTCGTTTTGGGGCTTGTAGTTATAAATTGCCTGGAACCTGCTAGCCACACAGTACGGACAAAATCCCTCTTTCTGCACAAGTGGGGTGAAGGCAATGCAACGGTCCACATTTTGCCAGTCTAAAATGACCTGCATATAACTCAATTACGAGCAATCACCACCCACTCCGGGCAGACTAATGTCCATTTGCAGGCCAGGCGCCGAGTCACGCTTATCGCGTGTAAAGCACTTTGAGACGCCCCCATGGCATCACGAACGCGCTATAAAAAAACTAATCATTATTACGATGAAGATCACTCTCTGATTTAAAAAAAAAACGTAATCTTTGAAATAAAAATATTAACATTTAATTGGGCTTGTAGTTCACGTGTCCTAATTGTTTATTATAATACATCGATGAATTACAACCATTGCGTCACAATGGATAGCCTCTATCGATGAAAATATAGCTGGCTACACGTTGGCGGTGTAAAGTGTTGGTACCCTCACTTCTTCAAATCCACATGCTCGGTTTGAAAGAGTGAACTAAACGCCTCTCAAAACAAAAGTGAAACCATCCGCATTCGGTGGCGTGACCTTTTTCCATATACGGCGCATTAATTACTTAATGCCTGTTCATTTACACAGTGACACAGACCCTCGTCTGTTTATTACTTTAATGCCCGCAATCCACGACGACATCACGATACATTGTCTGCAGTGTTAATTATCATAGTTTGATTCATCATTATGATGATGAACATTATGAACATGTTTCATTTTAAAGGAAAGGTGAGGGACATGGCGAGGCCCAAATGGTGCATTTAGGAACGAGACTGACTTTACTCGAAAGGATTATCCCCAGATCGGCGCAGATGCTTCATTCAACATGGGACATTATCACAGACTGGCGAGATATCACTTGGATTTTAACATAGAAAAAGAGAGAGCAAAACCAAGTGCAGGTTAAACCAAGATAATTTAATTGTTGTCACTTTCTCTGCAGTACTTATCAATCATTGGCACGTACTAACAACAACACAAGAGTGACACAAACTGCCATTGGGGTGTGAATGAAATGCCATGCTACTTACGGCTCTCCTGTAAGGTGGAAGTCGTCAGGGATGCGGACTGGCTGCTGGGGCTGGGGCTGCTGAGAGATTATAAGAGATGGTGTTTTATCATAGCCTGAACCAGGCCGCGACATTGCCCTCTGGTCAAAGTCACGCTCTGCGAGTCTGGATCTATAGCTGCTCTCTGCCAGCCGATATTCATAGCCGTCCCTGCTGCCCCTCTGTTCATAGGCTGCCTGCTCTGTAGACCGAAGGCCATAGCCGACCTCCAGAGGCCTGTATGCATAGCCCCGCTGCACTGAGGCATAGGCATATCCCGGATCGTATAACCTGGAGTCGTAGCCTGGGTGTGATAAGCTGGGCCTCAGCCCGGGCTGACGTGCCAGGCTAGTCCTGGAGCCAGGCTGGGAAAGGCTGGTCCGACAGGCCGTGCTGGGACTGTGCATGGCGCTGGGTATCAGGCTCGGGCTGTATCTGGGCTCTACGAGCCGGAGTCCATAGTCTCTGTGGGAGGGGCTGGGCCTACGCTCAGTATCCGAGCGGCCGTACGAGCAGCCGGCCGCCGGGCCCAGCCATTCAGACTGTGGGAACGGGGAGAGGCTGCTGCAGTACTGCACCGACTTCTCGGCTATCTGCAGGATCTCGTTACAGACGGCCTCCTGATGTCAGCCACACAGCATGGCACGACAACACGGCAAGGAACAAGGTTAGGCATATCGGATCGCAATTTCACAGTGGGTTATAAGCATGTAATTTTGTTTTGCCATGGTGACAAGAGAGGCAAGAGAGAGGATTTGATGCCCAGGAGTTGTAGAAAAATCCAGAAGAAGCGTGAGCAGGGAAGAGAGAGAAAGGCGAGCGCATTATAAGCAAGAAGGTAATATGCTGACATAAGCAATTACCAGTAATGGATGTCATAGATGCTTCAAACAGTGCATATGGTCAAATGCAATCATGCAAGTTCCTTTGACTTTCATTTTGCTGTTGTTGTTGTGCAAGTTCCTGTGCGCCACAAAATCTAAAGTTGCCGAATATGAATTCAGATTTATGGATAAAAAAAATTAGAATTATTTTCTGCTCAATGATTAAATGATTTCCATTTTCTTTACAGTTTTCTTGAAGATAAATTATTGTAAAAATGTACTTCACTCCAGTATGTTTTTGTTATTATAAATAAGACAATATATCTTCGTGAGCATATACTGCACTTGAATATATCAATACACTTTCAGAAGTGTGCAAGAAACAAAGGCATGAATGAATAAACAGGGCTTTCACATTTTCATTTCAATGGGAGAGTAAAAGTAAAACTTGGAATTCAATTATGTACACACTGACGACCTTCTGTTATTGGGCTACAGATGAATGAATGCATAAATATTACCGTTTTCTTGTAAAATAACTTGGTTTAATTAAGTAGGCGGAAGACTTTTCTTCATACAGCTTCCAAACAGGACATGAATCAGCTATAATGGTAACAAAAATGAACACTGTTTGTGCTTTGCCGAAATATTTCTCTACTCAACCAAACACACTAACCAAGGCACAATTCAAAGACTACCGGTGTGTGTCGAACTGGAATGTATTTAGAATTGGTTTAAAGTCTTCGATTTAAAGGCATATTCGGGACCTTAAATTCTAAATGTCACCATTCTTTATGGAAGCTGCATCATAAATCGAGCCTACTTTTAAGTACACATTCCTTTAAATTTATTATCGTGTTTTGGCTGTGATAATTACATGGATACATCATTTTCTGAAATAGCAGTCTTTTGAGACTCAGAAGGTAAAGTGTTTTACGTAAGATTTAAAGTAAGATTAGCGGTGCACGGTATTGACATTTTAATTACGTATGCACAGGCACGGGCATCTCTGTTGCGCAATATTTCTCACTGTGAACAGCAGTGTGATCTTGACAAATCATAGATGACAAACTTTAAAAACAGTCTGAGTTAATGTGGCACAAGGCTTCTTTAAATAATAATACATTTTCATTCATTTCTATATGTAATGTGCACACTGCCCCTACTATGAATTACTGTAGTCCTTAACTGCATTATTTCCTGAAACCAAATAATCTATTTCAATTGTCATTCATCAACACAATTGTCATTCTTCACGAAGCCATCCCTGTAGCACAGTGTCATGGTCATATTATCTACTATTATACTGAAATAAGGACACAAATCTATGCTTGTTGGTAAATTAGCTATACGGAAGTCATTAAAATTAAGTTTCGTAAAAAAACTAAAAATCAAGATGATAATATAACCTTCGCTTTAGATTAAAACCATATGAAAATACTATCGTACTTACGGTGATTTTAAGATTTTCTTCATATATATTTTAGAAATCGTATATTTTTAAGTGTTTTGCTGAAATGGCATGAAGGTCATTTGCAAAGCATGTAAATCCAACGGGAGCGCATGGGTTAGGGGCTATAAGCTTACCACATAGCTGGCCTCACTCATAGTTAGTGGCAATCCAGCAGGCAGCAGCTGATGGCACGAGAGCAGGCAAGTGTGGCCATGGGGGGGCAAAGGCAGACAAACAGATGGAGCCGCAAGAATGAGAAGGGCAGGAGGATGCAGCAGCCAAGAACGGTTTAGAGGCAGTGGGCAGCCCGCGTGGAGGCATTTGCAGCACAGTCCGTTTGAACACCACTTGCTGGCACGAGACTTGGTGCCCATTTCTATACCCTACAGCCGTAGACCCCGCTGTGCGGAAAATAGCTTACAAAATATAACGATTCACAGCACCTTCTCAGTCGACTGCTGGAAGCCTAGTTTTTTCATGTCATTGCTCATGGGGGGTGTTGGGTCGGTGGGGGGGGGTGGTGTTTAACCACACTTGCCAATGATGCCAAATGTTGATTGGTTGGTGAAAGGATCAACACGGGACCAGTTCAGATATTACTTGGCGGTGAAATGATCTGCCGTCGGATTTATTTCGCAGTGCGGTAGCCACTGAATCACACCTCCACCTCAGGATAGCTTATTTTAACAAATACAGGATGGAAGATGCCAATATCGAACAGGTTCTTAAAATAATAAAATATTTCAGATATGATACAAAAAAACTGGGCATTATTTGTGAGAAGGTTACATTATTGTTTTAATTAAGTGTATATTCACATTATGAGGTAGTTACCTCACTCCATAACCAACAGCCACGCCACTCAGTGAGAGCAATGACAGCTGCATTGAAATAATTATTTCAAATAAGCACAGGTCACTGTTCATGATTTGTGGGGGCCATTACAATCATACATCTGCCAAGAAACACCAACTGACCATGACCCACATGCAAGCTCTAGCGCTGGAGCATATGTTAAAGAAACAGCTTGTAGAAACCAATGAGCAAAAAGCATGACGAGCAAAGAAACGTTAAAGGTCTTGACATGCTTAGTCACATTAATCACATTAAGCATGTAATGCATCAAATAATTTCACCACACTTGTTGTACACAGACACACGCTTCAAAACCAGTTTTCATGTACCTGTTAACTTTGTTGACAAGTATAGATGAAAAGATAATCATTTACACGCGCGCATGTAGGAAACATTGTGCCATACTCTTTGGTTCTTTCGGTAAAGTCACCTACGTGACTTTACCGAAAGAAGCAAAGAGTATGGATCCTTGCAGTCACGGAAAACTTCTACTCTAGAACTTTGTGACAATTTACAAACATGAATATATTCATGTGGCTGTCATGTGATCAATATTTCCGTGGTATTATTCAGAGGCGGTAGGTACATGCTTCCCTCGACTGTGTTGACTAGAGGTCGCTCCCAAGGATCTCAGAGGTAGCTCTAGAAACAGATCGCGTCTCTAACACAAAGGGTTGCCACTGCTGTGCGAGATATTCGAATAGGTACTTTATCTTGTGATAAAGTATCTATTCCGGCAACTCCGATTAGCACGCTTTGGCTACGCATGGTGGTGAAAGAAGTTTAACATACATACATACATGACAACGACAGCATAGTCGGGATGACAACACAAAGAGCGTGGGGGAGAGAGAGAGGGATGAGGAAGGTATGGGACTATAAGGGTCAGTACCTTGATGGAGTGGGTGCCTGCTCCTCTCAGTGGAGACGAGTTACTGGGAGGCTGGGAAGGCACAGGGCTGCGGGAACGGCGACCCCACATCATCTCGTCATTCCACACACCGGACTGTGGGGCCACAACACACGGAGCCCGCCATCCCGTTACACTCCAGCCACCCGGCGCACACACACACACACACCTACAGCTCAATGTATCAAGCTGCTCGCAAGGAAGCAGTAATACGTTGTGGATGAATAGGAATGCCCAAGAGTGAATATGTTGTTGGAAAACTTAAACAAACAATACACAGAGAAAAAGTGCGGTGATGCATGTTTGTGAATAAAAAAATCCAACTATCATTCAAGTCCACGAACACGTGTAAGCCTCTTTACATATGTGCAATGAATGCATTAATTAGTAGGCAACTAATGAACCAAAAGGGCACTCGGTTAGTGAATGAATGTAAAAATTGTTGGAAAATGATTCATTATATAATGGTCTCAAGTATTAAAGCAGCACATTGTCTCACGGTAGTCTGATGAGAATGGGGCGGTGTCAATCACCCATGAGATGTACTGATTGCAATGTTGTGCAGTGAGGATGACACATGCCAGGCTGCGTGGCTCTGACAATAAATGACCACCCTCCTTAATGCTGACAAGCACAACAGAGACCACGTGTCACATTAAATCTATAACACTATCCTTTAAATCATAACACTCACGGTTAGTAAGTAATAATAACAATTTCAGCTTATACTGAGCCTTGGCTAATATCTCGATGCCCTTTAATGAAATTCAAGCAAACAAAGTGAGATTTGACGTTTTACTGAGGATTAAATTGAAACTGAGAATAATACAGTGTAATCGTAAAACCAATTAAATGTACAGTCCCATCTATTGATCATTGTCACAGGATTGCCGTTTTTTGCCTAGAGCTGGTAAGTCACAGCTGTTTCAACGTCACCATGGCCACCTTTGTTTTGCTCACAATGTGCTATCAGGATGTGACATCAAACTGGTCACCCTTGAACGACAACGTGCTATCTTGGACTCTATTATATAGATAGGTTTTCAGAAAGATTGTTAAATGTTTACATGAATATGATATATATTTTAACCTTTGTATTACATTCCTCCTAAAGTACAAGACTCAATGCATTCTGTCAACCAAGAGTTTACTGGAAGGTTATTTTTTAACAAGTTAAATTTGAATTTTGATTTAAAGCTTTCGTGACTGCAGTAATTCATATTCTTAGTTTTTTCGGTAAAGTCACGTTGAAGGGAAACAACAAAATAATAAAATATATATAAAACAATAAAAAATTCTCAATTGATTGTTCACGCTTACAGTGGCTTTCAGACAGCATACATTATAAAAAATTTCGTCTCCCCCCTCCTCTTTTCAGAATATAGATGGACTAGTCCTAAATAAACTGCCAAATCGTTGCGCGTGGCGCTAATGTTTTTATAAATAAATAAATGCGCCGTTTAAAAATAAATGTATGCAAACCAACACACCTGAAGACGACCATTTGAGTTATGGTCGAAACGTCGTGATAATTTTTTATTGTTTTATATATTTTATTATTTTGTTGTTTCCCTTCAACGTGACTTTACTGAAAAAACTAAGAATAAGTAAAATTTGCTTTCATTAGAAATATACTTTGCACTACATCTTATGCAAATTATTTCAAAACATAAAGAATAAGCTGGAACTGTATGATACTTCGCTTAACCCCGATCATTATATATCCATACAAATAATGTTTTCGTTAAAAGTGAATCATGAACCGTGGATAGTGTGGTCCTTGCACAGCCCGGAAATTACCAAAAAATACTTCTGAGAATTCGTGGCTCATTTTGTCAGGCTCTGTTTAATTTTACGCCCTGATTTAAGGCCACGCTTTCACTTAAACATTTCCGATCAAACCAGCCCTGGATACGGGTGGTCCCAGCCGTACTTGTGGTCGCCCAATTTGTAGGAATAAACGTGAAGGTACCTTTCCCTGGGGGGCCCAGGGCTTGCAGCGGTGAAAGAGTTTGGAGGAATTGTGTGTGGGAACGGGAGGAGGGTGGGAGGAGTGAGGCAGAGGGGAGGGTGCTTCCTTGGTGTCAGACACCGCAGACCTCCTTACACAGCCAATGAGTGATGGTGCCAGGGAGGGAGTGACAATCTGTAAGGATTTCATTGTGGCTATCGCCTGTGGAGATATAATGAAGAAGACTAATAGCCATCACGGTTCCATTCAACTATTGTGCAGCATATTTTTTGCCAAGCTCTTATGAATTAAAACACTGTGATGTTGTTTGTTGCCAATGTAAGGAAAATGATTTATAACATATTATTGTAAGTGCTACAGCTTCTTTACAGTGTTTCTTTAGCCAATCGCATTGTCCCAATATCTGATAACACAGCAAGCAAAGCTCCGATGTATGAAGTATGAATGGAAATGGGTTGCAGATAAACAGGTGATTTGTTCACAACGTGTGGTGAGCCATGCGCTAGGCGAAGCTTTCAGCAATTCAGATGGGAACACGGTCAGCTGTGGAAGCAGCAAACACCACGCCGTGCGTGTACCTTTTGCCACGGTCTCGACGGTGCCTTTTGGCTATCCTCCCGTGGCCGGGTGCCACTATCTGCCACAGGCTCCCCTGACGTTTCCTGGATAGCACCTTGCTCAATCGAAGGTACTTTGATGACTCGATTTCTCGGGGGCCTAACACGCTGCCTCACGACTCCCTTGGTTGGGCCAGGCTGTGCCGAGCTAGCTGCCTTTCTCACCACCAGTGCGTCAAGGCCATCGTCCTCATCAACGTAAAGCTCCACTTCCTGAAACAGTCTGTCTAGGCTCTTCCCATTGCAATGCTCTTTGCCAGCTGTGGCCATTGGGTATCCTGTTGGGCACAGATGCCTGCCCGCACCTGCACTGTCCGAGTCTTCTGGTGGTGACACAACGAGGAGAGGAGGGGAAAACGAAGCGAGTGACGATGAAGTGACAGGGGACTGCATGGTGGGGCTGGTTCGATGCATTCCATGAGCTTGAGCGTGACTGCTAACCTTTGGTCTGCCACGAGTCGTAACATTGCCATAGCAAGGATTTATTGGCAGGGTTGCGAGAGACCTAGACAGCTGTTTGTGCGCGCACCCCTGTGAGGACGGGGAGGAGGAAGAGGAGACCTTCAGGGGATTATCGGCCTTGACGGATTGCAGAGTATATCCATCAAACGCTGGAACTTGCTTGGGATCAAAGTGTGAGATATTTGGGAGAGTTTTGCACGAAACCATCTGGTAATCGACAGGTGACAGGCTACGCTTGTCTGGCGATGGAACATATCCGTGTCTCACAATGGCCACCGAGGAAGGAGATGGAGGAGTGACCTTTCTCCCAGGAGCGGAGGCGAGCAGGTCAGGAGTCAATGGAGGGGGAGGAGGAGTGGGGGTGCCCGAGGGCGACACCCTAACAGTCAGGTCGAGCCACTCAGACGTGATGGCCTGTAAGAGGGCCCTGGAGCCGTCTCTGCCTTTAGCGGCATGAGAGGGGAGGGTGGAGGAGCGAGGAGGGAACTTTCTGCTCAGACGACCAGGCTTGAGAAGGAGCACAGGGCAAGAGAGAGGGATGGTGGGTAAGAGAAGAACATGGAGGTGACAAACAATGAAAGATATAAAATAAAACAAGTGGAGCACATTAGCGAGGATGCATTAGAAAATAATATATTTTGTTGATCAAGATATTCAACATAAAAGAAAAGCACAGTATGCATGTGTTGAAGAAAGTAAACAGAATAGCTTGAAAAATGCCAGAAAAATACATTGGGACATGAACACATGTTAAGAGATGATGAACAGTTTCCAAATGCTATTTTAAATCAAAGCAACAGCCATCTGACTTTGAATTAGGTTCGCAAACCACTTGAAAAAAATGCTTATATACTATATAAATGTATTTAAAAAATGCAACTTCCATATCCAATTAAAAATTTACGCAGATCGGTGACACACTATTGTCTAAACTTTATCTACTGAGCGTGAGCAGCTGGTCCGCCAGTTTGAATGCAAAAGGTGAGCCAGGTAGAGGGTGGGGGTTGAGGGTGGGGGTTGAGAGTGTGTGGGGGGGGGGGGTTAGCCGGGGGCGTTGATGCGAGCCCCCGTACCTCTGCGTTCCCTCCTTGCCCTTGCTGGTGGCTGTAACCGAGAGGCGACGGCGCGTCGGGGTAGTCGGCGGCGTTCTTCACCAGGGGCTTCCTCAGCACCTCGACGTACGACGCGGGAAAGATGCCGTGCCGCGCCGTGCCGGGGATGCGGCCCTCGTACCAGTTCTCGTCCACTCGCCGCAGAACGGCGATCCGCTCTCCCTGCCGGCGGACGCAGGGTGCACCGGGGGGGGGGGGGGGGAGTCAACACTAATGAGCACTCGTTCAACATCCAGCAGGGTATGCCCAAATACCTAAAAAACATTTTTTTTTATTTTTACCAGGTAAGGCCCCACTGAGCTCTATCACTCTTTTTCAGAAGCAAACCTATCCACAATTTTGATTTAAAGCTTTCGTGACTGCAGGGATTCATATTCTTGGTTCTTTCGGTAAAGTCACGTAGAAGGGAAACAATAAAGTAATTAAAAAATATATATTGTTTAACATTTTTTTTATTAAAATAATAAAAATATTGTTTCATATTTTTATAAAAATATTGTTTAATATTTTTATATTATTTTATTGTTTCCCTTCTACGTGACTTTACCGAAAGAACCAAGAATACTATCCACAATTGATAGCGCAACCAAGTGGCTTATTGTCAGGTGGAAATTAATAGCAGCTAAAATAATCTTAAACGCATGTTTATTTTACATGTGGAGGGGATAAACCGGAGAACCTGGACAAAAATCCACACGCCCACAGGGAGAGAGACATGCAAACTCCAAATATACAGCCGTCAGTCGGGATTTAACCCATGAACCTCCCGTGTACAAGGCGAGGTAGTTAACATCTTCGCCACCCCGGCACCAATAATGTATCATCACCACAATCAACAACATAATTGCCTTTCTATGTATGTAGAACTTCTATCGCACTGTACGTAGCCAACCGTGCACATCGGAGGTGCGGGGAAACGAAAATACACTAAACACAAAAAAGCATCTCTAAAATAAATACGTTTTCAATTTTGTCCTATGTAACTTCAACTTCACCTGCAATTGTGGTAAAGGTGCAGTCCTACAATTACTTGCATATGCCACTGCTGGAAGAACAGCTTCTATTCGAGGTACCTCTAGACAGCCCCACTCGAGGGTATTTGGCCTAATCTTCCACAGTGGCCAGATGTTTTGTAAAAGGTGGGAGTACCCACACTTTACCCCACTACGCGTCACCTGCCGATTGACTATTGTATACTCATGTATACTCTTTGATGGACAGAGGAGGACAATTTAGGAAAATTGTCATCGTTTCAACTTCTGCATCAGAAGACTGAGTTGAACTGATGACGTCCGAAATTGTAAGTTTAGTGTGCTACCCATTTCACAATGGTAGCATTAATGTTTGCGGAACCCTAAAAAAAATCCACGTTAAAATAATAACTCCTCATAATCAATGACAGACATTTTAAAGTACAGTACAGTAATCACGTGACCTTGAGTATGCAATGGCAGGACTATGTCGCTCGGCTGGCCTGGGAATGCCTGGGAATTCCCCAGGAAGAGCTCGAGTCTGGGTATAGTAGTGTATAGTGTAGTAGTGTATAGTAATGTCGAGCGAGAGTCTGTCGCCAGGGAAAGGGAGGTCTGGACCGCCCTACTCAATATGGTGCCGCCACGACCCTCACCAGGACAAGTGCACTGAGGAACAGACGATCTAATCATTTTCAGCCATGGACTATACACTATTGGATGAATCATTTTCAACACCATTATCACCCTTTACAATCCATCTATCTCACTCTTATACATGGGCTGATCTCATTACTACATATCATCAGAGGTGATTGTCCTCTCAAACATGTTTTTTTATTCCTTTTGGCCATCATTCCATCACCAGTCTTTTCCACTGGCCAACATCCCTCTTATTGATGTGTCCTTACAAAACTCACTTACGTTCCTTTACAGTCAATTCGCTGTTTCCAATTGAATTTGTGCCCTGATCAATGTTTCCTTTTCTGTATCCCAGTGCAATCCTAAGCATGTACCTTTTCCACGCTTATGCACTGTTTCATAGTTGTGTAAAATGTCAACTTTATGCATTTGATGCCCAAAAATCTGGATTGTTTTTTTTTTGTGATTTGGGATAATTGTCTCATTGCATATGTAACTCTACTTAATTGTAGTTCCTTTTAGTTTTGTATCTTTGGACTGCCTTTGATAATGAAGCCAGAAATTGACATCTGTTTGGTCTCAGTCAGATCTGATAATCCGTTGTACTGTCATCTGTTGGCACTGTGGTGAGACAAACGCTATGCAATAGATAAACAATCATATATATCAATAGTTTTGAAAATTCAAGGACAATATATGATAACATACTACTCATATCACTGGGGGTTCACATTTATGCTGTACATTAAACATGTCACAAGTAAAAGAGAATGAGCAGAGGGCCGACCTTCTTGAAGGACATCTCGAGGTGGGAGTCGGCTGTGAAGTTAAACTTTCCCACGGCTTCGCCACACTGGATCACCTGCGGGGGGGCTGCAGCGAGTGGGCTCAGTGGAGCTTTCTCCTGAGTAGGCTGCAGCTGAGAGCAAAGCAGATGATGGGGAGGAGGGTGCCACAAACCATCGTACACCGTTGTTAGAATCACTTTGAACAAGTAATTATTGATGAGAAAGGCTATGGGTGCAACCCTACAATTTCTTACCACTTGTGCCGCGACTGGCCAGATGCCTGGTAAGAGGTGGGAGTACCAACACTTTACCGCACGACACATGAACTGCTGAACGACTGATTTGTACTGCTGGGTGAGCAGAGGCAAAGGGGGAGTTATTAAAATTGCTGCCACACCAGACTGGTAATGCAGATGTCACGGGTTGGCTCTCCCGATGGGGCTGTTAAAGTATTTTAACCGGATTATCCATGCCTCTTATTATACTGTAGTTACCATTTGGAGTGACTGGCCTCTATCATATGAAATTTCCGTTCCTCGCTCCAGGTCATGAACCGAGATAAACGCCACCTCATGCTCGCATGAGCATCGAACAAATACTTTCGACTCTAAAAATGCAAAAGCTTTTCAGTTTCAGTTTTTATTCATTTTGGTATAGCCCTGTGAGCCATTCGGCTCTTGAATTGGGTGCAACTACAACAAACAAAAACAAAAAAACACGAACAAGAAAAACATCTTAAAGTGACTATGTGACTGTGCAAACAGAAAATCCATGAAAAAAACACAGCAAAATATTCCTGAAAAAAGCACCGTACACCAACGCTGTGTGCAATAAATCCCAGTGGGATGCAAGTCAAACAACAACAACAACAACCACAAGAAAACTTAGATTAAGGCCATCAGTCTAACTCCATACTACTACAAAACAAACATGTCCTAACCAAAAAACGTTTTCGAAATCACCAAAAAATAAAGCCATAATTTCAACGTAACAGTGATCACAGGGACTGTGACCGAATTTTTACAATAAACTACATAAATAACATGTAACACCAAATCCTAGAGCCATAGCTGGCTGCATGAGTTACTCCACAACAACAGAAGCATCAGTCGGAGTATCAAATTTTTCAATGCACCTTTAAGATCAGCACGCTAAATCAAAATACAGATAATACTTTGCAGCGTCATCCGGAGCGAAACATTTTATTTTATTTTACGCCAATGAATAGCAGTGGCAGCTAGGGGTGTACAACTCCTCTTGAGCAGTTTTGAGAGGAGATCTCATTGGTAGCGATTCAAGTTGCAGTTTATTGGCAATTGCATTCCAGACCCTGGGGGCATCAATAGCATAGGCCCTTCCTCCCAGTTTTTGTACTGCAATAGGGAATGTGAAGCTGGTAAATGAGCAAAGACCTGAGGTCAAATTTGTTCTTTGAAACAGAGAGGAGATCCAGCAGGTAGTCTGCAGATTTTTTTGTAAGTACATCGTGAAAAAATAAGATCTGGTGCACAAGCCGTCGAACATTAAGAGATGTTAAGTTTGACCTAATGTAGAGATCACAGTGGTGAGTCCTATATGGGCAGTTCAATGTAAATCTTAAGGCCGAGTGATAGATGGAATCAAGCTTCTTCAGTACAGTACTTGGGGCTGATTTATACACGATGTCACAGAAAATGTGTGACACATTATTGTGGATCAAAAGGCTTAACCCCAATGGTCCCTCCAACCTGGAGCTCACCAACTCAAATGTGACTCACCTCCACGTAAGTTGCGGGGAAAATTCCAACTCTGCCGTGGTGCTCCCCTTCGTACCAATTCTGGTCGACTTGCCTGTTAATGTACACGACATCCCCCTTGTGGAGGGGAAGCTCCCTGGACCAGGCAAACAGAGCAAGCAGCAGTGATTAAGACCTTTTTTATGCTAAGCAACGTGGTACCACACTTGACCATTTTTATCCCCCCACATACCAACTTTCAAAGAATCCACTTATTAATATTTCTGAAAGAAAAAAAACCTGTTTTGACGCATTTTTTTGCGTTGAGAATCAGTCTGCGATAAAAGGGTTTAAATACCGGCAGCTTGCCGCTTAAGCCAGTATATGGTCGGCCACCTTCATGCTTACATCCATATCATCGGCAAGTTTGCAAGTTCCTACATTATTTGAATACACATTTTTAGTTTTTCAAGCAACAAGATTTTTTTTAAGCTTTTGTGACAGCAGGAATCCATACTCTTTGGATTATTTCGGTAAAGTCACGTAGGTAGAAAATAATAGATCACAACGTTTCGATCACAACACAAGCAATCGTTATCAGGTGGCGATTGCTGAAGAAGCTTTTTCTAAATTGTAATGTTATTGCACATTTCTGTACATTATATAATCTCTGGCATGAAGCAGTTTTTTCTTGCTGTGGTTGTCCCATCAGGTGGTGATTGCTGAAGCAGTTTTTTTTCTAAACTGTACTGTTATTGTACATTTCTGTACATTATATAATCTTTGGCATGAAGCAGTTTTTTCTTGCTGTGGTTGTCCCACCTGATGACGATTGCTTGTGTTGCGATCGAAACGTTGTGATCTATTCTTTTTTTACCTACGTGACTTTACCGAAATACTTTTTTGTGTACAGTGATTGCTGCTCGATCCAAAACCATGATTTCAGCTGTTCTGTTGCGAATTGGAGCCATCAGCCCCTCGAGCACCTCCAGAACTGCTTCAATGTACATCTCCCATTGCCATGGTTTATTTAACCTGTTAGTAATCAACCCACAGTGTAAAGAAAATGCATGAATTAAAATTCAGAAACTTTAAACGGAATCCGACGATTCGTGCACAAATTGCAGACTTACTTTTGTGATTGGGCTCTGAAGTTATATTTCGCTCTTGCAGTCTGTCGAGTGGGCTGCACAGAGCAAACCATGTTAATCCACGGTTGCACAAAGACATTGACATCTACAATAACAAATTAAAATATTGTGGAAACCATACACTTTTGCTATTATGATTTCAAACAAAAAAACATGTTGTGAAATAGTTAAACATCCATTGAGTTAAACTGTAATGTTATTGTACATTTCTGTACATTATATAATCTCTGGCATGAAGATATGGTATAATTAATAGTTGAGTACAGTACCGTACAAGGTGGGCTGATATTTTACCGTCTAAACAGGATCAAGGTATAATTGAACTTGCGCTGCTTCTAAAACAACAATCTCAGCCAACCTCTCGTACAAGCTGAAGGTGTTTCAGGTCTATTAGCCAGATTTTGCCTTGCCTATGTATACACGATAACACACTGGCTCTCACAAAGTTTGTGCTGTAATGTTTACCATATAAGGTACATGTTGAGTAATGTTTATATGCGTAAACAATGAGTAATGTTTCTAAACGTGTTTGTTGACAGATATGATATGTTAAAATTCCTAACAACATCCATGTAAACAGTACAAAGGACTCATGATCCTTGTTATTAAGCACATTTTCCAACTAATATTATGTTGGAATAATAAACGGGGCACTGGATCACAATTGACAGAATTTGCCATAATGTGTGCACACCGATGGGCTTTATTAAAGCATGTTAAATGAATTTTATACTAATCTGTCAACAAACACTGTTAGAAACACATTACAACTACAGCACATTTATTACGCAGTAGTTCTCAACAGAAACGACTCTGAGGGATTAAATAATTTATGATTAATTCCTTAGACTCTTGAGACCATGTGTGTTTCTGAGAAATTCAAAGGTCAGACAGATGGTCACTAAAACACCCTATTGATTTTTTTAAAAAAGAATTGCAATTCAAATGTTGAGAACCACCACTGATATTACAAAAAGCACTATCTTTGACCAGGAAAGTGTTAATTATGACACCTGTTGACAGAGGAGCAAGGTAAGTCTCATGCAACAATTGGACAAATGACACAGATGGATTTGCGAGGTCATTCAAATTTAACGGTTGGTGCTATGAGTTACAAAGCCAGGAAAAAACGTGTGAAGAGCATCACTCAAAGAAGCTTGTTTTCATAACATACAAAAACAACGTTGCAGGTGAAAAGAGGTTAATCACAGCACGGAGTGGCAGAAGATTATGTTGGGAAAAAGGAAACTAAAATTAAATGAAAAAATTGCTAACTTGGGCTGGCGATGGCGAGCTGGGACAGACCTCTCCCACCGATGTCCGCTTCCAGGAGTCATCTATGTTGAGGAGATCTCCAAAGCGATCGTTGGTGATAAACTGGTGGTGGGAAAGGAAGACTCCAGAGTGTCGCCGGGAAGCGATATCGGCCTCCTCCTGCTCGCGTCTTATCCTGCGCTGCTCCTCCAGCATGCGCTGTTGTGACAATTGCACACACGTTGGACACCCATCATCTGTAACACGTGTCCACACGTCTAGTAAATGTAAGACGTCCCAGTCATATGTCGCAGTGACTACTGTTACAGCCAACAGTCAAACGTCATGTGTGCCTTACAGGTGCTATTCTTTTTTTACAGTATTGATGTGGAAATGTATTTAAATGTTTCAGCTATCATTCAGTGATAACATTACTTTACACATGTAATTAAGTTACTAATAACAGTAATCCTGTTGATGTGGAAATGTATTGAGATGTTTTGGCTATCGTTTAAGTTATAACTATATTTTACATATGCAATTCTGTTATGAATAACGATAATCGTGATGTATGAGATTTTTTTTTCGAAAACATTCCATTTTAAATATAACATGTCATTTTTGCAAGCAGAACATTGCAGGAATATAATTCAGGATATATTAAGGGTCTGGAATCAGCTGCACAAAACATCTAAAGTACATTCCCTTAACTCCTATATAAATGCCAATTAAGGTTTATGTTTACCTTTCGTATTTTTAATGTACAACTGCCCCACTGGTTTTCTACTTTATATGCAGGTCACGCTGCAACCCAGCAAACATAACAATGTACACACATTATTATAATCCCTGTGCATTTGGCCCTGTACTGCAAACTAGAATGTGAAATATTTCCAGTATTATTTTCAGAAAATGAGACTCGAAGCGGTGATATCCACTCAAGAATGTAAATAGTAGGTATTTGCCAAATGGAAATTTTATATCTACCCGATGTTATTGTAGCTGCTGGATAAGTTTGTAATGGTTCTCGAGTGGGCCCCAGTGTGTCGGCCAGAATGTGGTGGGTATATCTGACGCTTGTCTTTAAATCTCTCCATGGGCTTGCCCCACCTTATCTTGCCTCTCTCATCTAGTTCAATGTCCCTTCTTATCTGCTTCATTCCCAATCTTCTGTCTCTCTCCCCCTCATCCCTGAACCCATTCCCGTTTTCGGTCCTTCTCCCTCCTTGCACTCCTCCACTGGAATAAACTTCCCCTGTACATTAAGCGGTCCCCCTCCTTACCCTCCTTATATTCCTCTCATGGAGCCTCACCTCTTCTCTACTGCCCATTCTTTTCCTCTTCCCTCCCCTCACCCCTCCACTCCTTCCCATCCCTCCCCTTCCCTTTCGTGATCCTCAAGTACCCGCTATCAAGGTCACTCATTCCACAACCCTTGCCAGCCCCTGGCTTCTGTCACCATTTTATTAAACTATGTTAAGCACCTTTATTGAAGGTGCTCTTTAAATACCAAATTAGATTATATTACTTTCAGACAGCATTCATATTTCCTCACTTACCACCCCTGTGGGGATAAAGATATTCTTGGAAAAGGCTTTTTTTAACTCAAACTCAGAACACGATGGTTGCCATTGCTGACAAAAATTACCAAGAAGTAACTCATTGAAGGGTTCCATAAGCAGGCTTTTGATTGGAGAAATTTGACAAAAGTTATTATTTGTTTTGTACATCTCCTGAATAATTTTACTGGAGGCAAAAATCACCATTTCATACTGGGCAATAGATTCCAAATCAACAACACAGAACCTCACCCAAGGTAGGAGGTTTAAAAATGTTGCCTGATTACGATGCCCCTAGCCAGGGGCTAAACTCGAGGGACCTCTTTCAATACAGCACGTGGTCTTCTGGAATTGACCTGTTTTTATATTACCTGTAACATAATCGGCATACGAGGTTGAAACAAGGACTTGAGTTCAAGAAACAAGCATTTGGCCAGATCAGAAATTAATACCATCTGAAATGGCAAAACTCGAAATGGTTCCAATTCCTTTGTATGTTCAATAAAAGTGAATTATGTGATGATCTGCTAGTTTGAGAACTTTAATTGTATACTTTACAGTAAATAAAAGCTGTTATTGATCATATTAAGAAAATAGTGCTCCTGTAGATTTGACGTCCTCAGTTCATATCAAAAAAAGGTAATTTATCTGGCTTGGGCTTTTGAAGTAAATGTTAAAAAATGGGGCAAATTCTCAAGGCGGCATTGGACCCAAAGAGAGCCCTCATCACCAACAACGTAGCTCCAGCTCATCTTTGAATCGCCATATAAATAACGTGTTTCTTACCCCAAAATGTGTACAGGCTTTCATTATTGGTTCACATATGAATCCGATTGAAGAACGCTTAAATTAAATGTCCCCATTGCAGTTAATTCATGACTAATAGTCTGATACAATGCACAGTAAACTTCTTGATCCACCCTCAAACACCGGCTTGATGATCTGGATATTCAGAGCAGTATGATATAGGCTTTTCATGCTACCCAGCAATTGAAACGTGAGATGGGAATGAGCCCCGTGAGTAATGCTGCTGGCTGTTGAGATGAAAAAAAAACGCATTGCCGACATGAAGTTTCACTTTTCCTCATCCAGCTGCTTCAGGTTATTACATTCTCATGGGATATTTTCCCCTTTCATATGTTTTGCCCCCAAATGTTTGTAATCAGCAGCAGCAGTAGACACGTGAAGGACTGAAAATACTTCTCGCGATTGTGAATCACCAAGGAGTCACTCAAAATATCGCCAAAGTCGTTAATCACGTGCCCAATGCTCGATTTGCGGACGCTTAAGTGGATGGAATAGATTTGGAAGGGACGTGGGAAGGTGACGACGGCAGAGGAGTCACGTGCTCACCTCCTTCTCCTCCCGCCGTCTTCGAGCTACAACTTCTGCACTCTCACGGCTCTCGTAGATGGGAGGCGGGCGGCCCGTTGGGGACGAGCAAGCGGACATCGGCCGGGGAGACAGAGATTCTGTACACACGCACACAAAGCACGCACGCACACACACACAAAGCACGCACGCACACACAAAGCACGCACGCACACACACACCCCGCAAAGCACGCACGTGCATACACGGACACACGAAAGATGGTGCACGCATAACAGGAAACGTTAAAGACGATGATTTATGGGCAAGCGCACACGCACGCAAAGCACGTTGCAGATGCAGACGTAGTCAAACCAGCACGCATCTGTGTGTCAACCCACACATTTGTACGAGCACACAAAACATTTTCCACTTTCGTGTGTTTTTTTACACACATATCTCCTGGTGCTCAAGTATATGTACATTACTTAAAGTACTTAAAATAAAGGCATTAATTTCTACATATATAAGCATGGCCAAGTATGCTGAAATGTATATATTAAGATACTAACGCCTAAGTTTAAAAGTACTCAAGCACGTACATTTTTCAAGACGGTAATCTCTCACTTCAATAGCCTCACTCGGTTCATCCATTAAAAAAATTAACTTGAGGCTTAAAAATATGCCCACCAATATGGTGGTGCCTTCCATTTACAGATGTCTTTCTCTAAATGTTTAATTCCTCATTCCACTAAAATCATATAAATCGTTATTAGAACAGGTCATAGTTAATTGTTCTCCACCCCCTTTTTTGTTTAAATAAAAAAATGTAATAAAAAATGAGCAATTCACTTCTTAATGAACATCAAGTTAACGTGAATGCCGACACAAAGCTTAATTAATGGAGAAAGTCATGCAGCGCTATAAATTACTGGTGTGCAAGTCAACATAAAAAATGAAGCACAAGCCCCTCAATGGATATGTACAGAACACAGCGTTGCCTTTCACCATTACAGAACAACGATATCATGTTTTCCAAGAATGTACGTCTCGTAATTACTGTATTTACAAATGCACGTTTTTGGTACTTTATTTTGTGCACAATTAGCGCATTAACAGGTTAATTTCCTGCAACACCACGCAAAGCACTTTGTGCTAAGAGTAGTATTAATACAAAATAATTCAAAAATCAAACGTGATAAATGCAAGTCCAATCGCCTTCATGAATTTGGAAGCCATTGAAGGGGTGAAAGGTGTTCTGGTGTGCAGTGCAATAACGCCGGACATAATAGCCCATTTGCTACGCCCCTACTTGACCGCCTCATTGCCTCAGGACGAAGCAATTGGCACAAGTGTGGTGCTAATGTGCCTCCTTTTCTTCGTTGCCTCTTCAAAGCATTATCATGTAAATGAATGTATTTTAAAGGCATCTGCAGATTGGCCCATATGAATGATTATAAACTGTGTTTTGAACAGTTTTATTTTTTATACTGCGTTGGTAGTGGCTCACTCACAAGCAAAAACTCAAAGACATTCCTCGATAAAACGACTCTAAAAGAAAACAAACAATGTAAGAGGTAACACGTTCGGAGCAATGCCCCTTCTTCAGAGCGGTGTTACCGACGAATATATTGTTATGTTTTTTCCATGGTGAAAACAAATTCGTACATTTTCCGTGGTAAAAAAAATGCATCTCTTATAAATGCATCTGCAGAAATTTCAATTCAGACCAAACTCAAGCGTAAGCCTCCAGCAAAGGCAATGAGTGCGTGAAGCCCTCTAGGTTTGTAGCAAATGACTATGTATGAAATGCTTAGTGCTGAATGTATAATAAAATGTGTATCGCAGCTTTGGAAATAATGCAAACGAGGAAGCAGTAAGGAACACGGGGTTGTTAGAATGTTAGTTAGTCTCAAACCCAAGTCTTTAATTTAAATAGTTCTCAACCTGCGTAACATTGACAGTTACACCACTAAGAGATTGAAAGTGCATCAAGAAACAAAAGGTAATTAGAAATGCGCTGGAATACTCTGCAACAACCCCAATGTCCTCACTTAAAAAAGGAACATTATAGTGTATGCGTGATGTAAATTATGGAAAAAAAACATCGAAGTGATACTACATCATTGCAGTTGGAAAATGACATATGCAATGACATGACATAAATACCATGAAATGGAATTTAAGGACACATTTGATTAAAAAAAACCATCACATCCGACAGATATCAGCGATCACAGGACGTATACATGACCAATCACTGGACACTGACGAAAGGCAAGGCAACAGATTTCCACCTTGGTGATGGACAAAATGGCAATCTCCCTGGGCTCTGTGGCTGGGGTCCAGGCTATGGAGCGAGAGCTCAGAGTGATTGAGGTTCGGCTGAGGGTAGAGCGTTGCCTCCAGCGGTAGTGGGCTGCTGCCCAGCAACCACAGGGGCGACATTGAACGACCTTCTAAGCCATCCAAGTGGCAGCTATAAGCTCCTCGCACAGCAGCAGGCAGGTACGTGGGCTGGTCTCTGTCCAGAAGGTAAGTTGATGGCGGGACGGGCGAGATGGGTTTCAGGAGCGGGTAGGATGAATCTACGAGGTATTCTGCATATTGTCTCTTTGGAAGAAATGGACAGGACATCTCAATGTTCTCCAGATGACCAGGATAATGGTTTTCTGAAAAGTAGGGGTAAGGAGCTTCGGAATTTTCCCAGATGTATCGAGAAGACTTCCTCTCCGGTACAAACGGCTTGATCTCGGTTTTGAGTTCTCGAAGAAGTCTGTTGTCAGGCAAACTTCGTCTCCGGGTCTCTCTCCGCATCCTCTCTCGGTACGTCTCGTGCACGGATGACAACGTTTCTGCCCTGTGCTCTTGCCTGCTCGTAGTCTGCAGCGGGGAGGTCAAACACTTCTTCTTTTTCTTGAGTCTGACAGGAACTGGGTTGATGAGACACGCTGCCCTGGCAAAGCTTGAGCGGTCTGGCTGTACCTGCGTGCGGTAGTTTCTCGCGTAGTTTTCCATTTTCATGGATTTGTAGTTCAAAGGAGAGCTCCTGCTCCTGTAGTAGTCGTAGTTATTCTTGTCGTACAAACTCATGAGCGTGAACCGGGCCCACGATGCCGGGCAGTATCCAGTGCAGCCCCCAGAGAGGTGTTTATGTGTTCGCCTGCGTGCCTTCTCTAAACTCTCACAGGATGCGAAGGACAAGCGATCGAGTTCACTCTCCGTGCACACGGACGTCCTGTCCACCAAAACAAATTCACTCAGCTTGGACGCGAATCCATCGGTGTCCGCATCGTCGTCTCTTTCCCTCTCCAATGAGATTTGGTTTACCACAAGTGGTGGTGCTGCCGCGCTTTTTTGGGGACTGACCGCATCACTGCTTGCAAAGCTCGCTTTCTTTCTGGGCACAGCGCTCGGTTTCCGTTCGGTTGATTGCCACTTGCTTTCCATTGCAACCTCACTGTCTAGCAGCGAGTCAGCGGAAAACGAATTTCCCATACGCCTGATGGAGAGTGTATCGCTTTTACACATCACCATGACGGCCACTGGTGATGGAACAAGATTTGCTATTTTCAGGTTCGGCATAGACTTTGTCCTTTTTATGAATTTTTCAAACTCTGTAATCCTGCTGGTTACCAGGTCCTTCGGCACTTCCTCTGTTTGTCCGCCCTGGTTGGGCAGCAGGCCCACACCGCTGCCCTCGTACCGTTTCACCATGGTCCCAACGCAGCACAGCGACGGAGACGGAGTAATTTGCTGCCGATCGATCTGATGCATGGTCCTGTATAGCTCGGAGAACTCGGGGTCGGTGACGCGCACCTTGCGCTTGACTTTTTTCCTCTTTCCGCGATCCCTGCGGTTGATGTCGCCGATCTCGGCATACTCGTTGCGCTCCTTGGTGGTGAGGTTTTCGGCGCTCTCGGACTTGACGGGCTGCTCAGTCTCCACGCTGTGGCTCTCGTTGAGGAGGTCGTCGCAGCTGTGGGACCGCCGCTTTGCCAGGCCTTGGTCGACGCCGACGTCTTCGTCGCAGGTAAATTTTGACGGCTCGCTTGGCCTATCCGCCACGGCGAAGCCGGAAGCGCCTGGGGCCTCTGCTCCTGCGCTACGGAACGGATGAGTCTGACTGCTACCGGGGTTACTACAAACTACATCACTGTCAGAAAACAAGAGGGCAGACACCGAGTCCCCACCTTCACCATCCGCAGGAAGCGTTAGGAGAGACGAAGAGAAGGAAAAGAGCAGTTGACGGCAGAGTTAAGAACGGGAACAAAACGTGAGAGCGTGCAGCAAACGGGGGGACATTGTACAACGAGGTCTCTGCAATTGTTGATTAATTATTTTTGACGAGATAAAGAGTCATGCAAATTGGCGTAAGTGTGTGTTAGGTCATCCGTGTTAATGCATTCAACACATGCTTGTTACGGTGGAGCATCTCTTTTATGTGAGGATTAAATAATGTAATGAAATTTGATCACATTTATGTATTCATGTCATTCAATTAATAGATTTTATAAATGCATTTGCGGCAACACTTTACGTACAAGTAAAAATTTGCAGACAGGAAATGTAATTGTTAACATCGGAAATATTGAAAAGATGAAAAGAATAAACATGATATTTCCTATTATTAATCGAAACGATCAACTAATAAACAAAAACATTCAAGTGCACGTAAAAGGTAAAAGTGCAGCCCTGCAATTGCTTGCTCAGATCACTGTTGGTGGAACGCACTCCACTAGAGGGAGCTCCAGCGAGTCCTTCTGGAGGGTATTTGGCCTATTCTTCCTTGCTGGTCAGACGAGACATCTTCGGAGAGATGGGAGTCCCCACACCTTACCCCACCACACACGACATGCCGATTCGTTCTACTCTACATATTAAACAAATTATGCATTACATGTGCTATCGAGGAAGTCAATATCCCTTGATATTAATTATGCACATTCACTTCTGCCCGAATGAAATACTGGCTGGAAAGGTGATAATAATGTTTAAATGTGTCAGGAGTTTGTTTTCGGTTAAATAATACGAAGAATAAAAATACTAAATCCAAGCAAAACAAAACCAACATAAACACCACACAGTGAAGTGATTACTGTACTAACACTCCTTTTGTATTCGTTCCTACATAACACGTTCTAGACAAACAAAATTACATGTGATACGAACATTTAGCCTCGAATTATGCCGTGAGCCGAGCTACACGGCATGTACCAGCACTGAAAGAGAGACGCACGCAAGGGGGCACACACCCACTTCATCTGGGCCAACAAATTTAGCTCTCAGCCTTGCAGAGTGGCGCCGGTTTGCAATGCCCAGTCTGGCGCGCACGCCAACACACACGCGTGCCACTGCTGACATTAACCGCACGGGGCTCGCGTTGAACACATCGATCCAACAAGTCACCACGGTCGCTCGGGGTGGGGGTGGGAGGGCCAACGTTTAGCGTAAACCAATCCATGGGTCGACAAGTTGAGCGGAGAGCGTTGCGCACGCCATGTTTTTCTCCAATGTAAAAATTCCGTTAGTAGGTTAGGCGAATCGGTAAATGCGAAAAGACAAATGGGGCGTTTACGGCAACGTCGACTCGCCGTGAATTGCGCGCTCGTGCACGACGTTGAGCGAGGGAGCGCTGCAGGGCTCGGCCATCGTACCTTTGGAGCGAGGAGAGAGCGGTGCGGAAGTGATTGAGGGCCTCTTGATCACGCTGCTGAGGCCCTGCATGGGGATGTCCCCTCCCTCCAGCACTGCCTTGTACACCTGCCTCTCTTCTTCCTCACAGCCGGGGGCCCCCACGGGGCTCACTGCCGGCTCCGACTGCCTTCTCACGGCGTAATACCCCGGCTCCATGGAGCTGTGCACAGGGGAAGCGAGCACACAAAAAACAAGCGCTTTTTCGTCCGTTTTCGTCTCGTCGTCCGCGTGCAAGTCTCCCAGCCACGGACGCTTGCAGAATAGCAATAGGATAAAAGTGTGCCAGCGGTTGGTGGCAGCCGCTTTATTTATACAATGCTGTAACAGCTCGAGGGTGGAGGCGTGAATAGATTGCAATTGATGACTTGATAACAATAGCTGCAGTTTCTCCGCGATTGTCAACCTACTTTAGGATCTGAATGCTAGGCAAGTGTATGGCTTTAATATGTCCAACGAAAGAGAAAAACATACGATAACAGCTGGAAATGTTTGAATTTAGAATTGCTTGACATTTATTCGAAGAAAAACTCACTGTTAAAAGACCATGTAAAAAAAGAAAAGTTGGAAATAGATATATGCAATGAAATTAAAAGAATATAATTTCATATACATCGTCAGCGGTTAATGCATTGACATGAATTAAAAAAAAAAACTGTTTTTCACTGTGTCGATACCAAATCATAAAAACCTAAGCAGGCTTGAGCTTGGACAGAACTTGAATGGACAACCACCGTGCACAAAACAGGTATCATAGGCAGCTACGGTTGGTATGTTGCATACACCAGTGGCTGGTACAGCGAAATCTATTGTTGTACTGTACCTTTATGCTCACACATCTACGCTCCCCCTTCACCAACCCACACGGCACGGCGTGAAGTATGGTAAAACAACCTCCATGATGGCACAGCGTGGGAGGGCCCTCGCCCAGTAGTGGATTGACAAAAAGTGCCGCGTGCACACTGAGACCCAGACAGCTCCATTTCCATGACAATTAGAGAATGAGCCGTGCTGGCTTAGTCCTGGAATGGTCCAGCACAGCGTATTTACTGTCCCAATGCTTTGAAAGTTGGGCAGTCCAAAGGCTTCGTCTCTCCCTTCGCAGCCACAAGCGGAGGGAGCAGGTAAACTTTATTTTTTAGATAAGATTTAATATATTTTTGGGTGAGTTTACACTATCCATCCCGGGCTGAGGTCTATTTATTATTATTATTATAAAATGACCTAAGTGTGGGATGCATCGCTTGACTGTTTATTTGACAGTGTCCAATGGCAGCTCGGATGCTTGCCCATTGCCCACTTCTGATAATCCCTCTCCACTGGCACAACTGAGCCGAGCTAGGACGCAGCTGTCATGATACACGTGGTTTCCCACTGGCAATTTGATGTGATGAGCCATGACCAAACTGTGATAAGCTGGACTAACTAAAAAAGATAACCGAATCTACCTCATGACCAAGCAGGACCAAGCAGGACCATGCGCAGGGCTAACGACACATTTATTGCATGTGGCATCAGTCACTCCACTGAGGAGTATTAATGATACGGTGTCACCACGTCATATACGTGCGTATCGACATTGTGTGACATCGGTGGCATGGCTTGGCTTTCTGCAGTGGAAAACAGCCCGTACCCTTCCTTACTGATCCACGATGGTTTGGCCTGGCACAGCCCCGGCGCAGCATGGTTGTGCCAGTGGAAATAGGGTATTGAAGGGAGCAAGCGGATTGGTCATCCTGTTAAGGCCTGTCCATAGGAATATGGGTCTGGCCTACTGGATCATTTAAAAAAAGTGGCAATGGGAACATAGCATTAGCCATGCATTAACAGAATCAAACCAAATAGCCTTTTAGAAAAAAAGTGTAACATTCAACTTTTCATGTGATGTGCTGTGTGAATTTTTATATTTGAGTATATCAAAAAGATGGAAGAGTGAAATCACCTCACGCTTTCAGCCGCTAAAGGAAGACCTTGAACCTCTTTTTCAGTTTAAAAATATATAATTTAAAGGGGATCATTATTGTGAAAACACATCAATGCAAGCGATGAATCAACATAATTACAAGCAGTGATTAATATCACAGCCTTTTAATGTGATAAAATGCAAAGAAAAGACAACCTAAAATATTAATGACAAAATTACCAGAAACAAATGTAGAACTTGCATGATAAGTGATATTACAATGACCTCGTATTTTTTTTGTAGTTTCCTTAATGCACTTAAAAACAAACAACCAATCTGTAAACAGCTTCACGCATGTACATGGAATTCTGATGTCCACCATTGGTTCCTTTGAATATTATTATCACTTACTTTAAGCAATGAAAGTGAAAATTGGATGGAAACCAAGCAATTATCACAAGGACAGCAATACCCTATTGGCTGCACTTTCCAAAACAGATAAAAAAAAATCCACGGAGCCCATTTTTCATGTTTACTTGTTGAGATCGGCCTGTCTTATTTACACCAGCCAATTAAATTGCCATAACACTCCTCAGGGTATGTTTTCATGAAGGCTGTTTCTCTATGCAATGTGTTCCTCCAGCATAAATAAAGATTCTGATTCTATAAACATGCTTGGAACTCATTTCTCCAAAAGCATTTTTACCTTCACATAGCTATTGCAGTATATGGACAGAACAAAATGCAGTCAGTTTCGCGTGGCTTTTAAAAATCCAGTATTGAGGTTGATCAAATAATGAGCACCTGACTCACTATTTTTAATTATAATCTGACTCACTCTTCTCATTAAGCTCATTTGGAAGTATAGGGCATTTCACTGCCGTTACGTACATTAACTACAGCTCAGTTTGATGGACACATTGAAGCAGTCTCATCACTTTTCACGTGTGGAATACTTACATACATATACAAATGTTACAGCACTACGAAGCACGTTATTTTGTTCTATCTCCCTTTTGTATTACCGTCGAAACATGGAGAATGTGATGCATAATTAGCCATGGGACTGTCTAGACCTCTCATCTCCACACTGCCATGTTAAATCCAACACACACACAACAGCGTGCCTTGAATGGGACATCTGGCCAAGGGGGTTAAATTCCACGATTCATGCCACTTCTACACCATCTCAGTTATTCTACCATTTGTAAATAGGCAATACAACTCCAATGCAACATTTAAACTCGAATACAAATATTTCGATACTTAATAATAGTAATGCTATAAATGCATTCTTACGGAAATCCTCACCTCATTTTGGTTATCATTGCTACTAAAGCAAATGTGTATGTAGACACTTTGTAAATGTACTGCAAAGAATATACAGTACACCATATAATCACACAATATCATAGGTTACGGTTTTCGGAGCTATTTTGTGCCAATAGAAAATAAGCGTGTGCGTATAAAAGTAGCTTATAAAACAAATGGACTATATAATACATGAAACAAAATGTCATGCCATCCAAATGCAATGTGTTGGCAAGACAAAAGCCTCCGATAATAGACAACAAAGAGGAGCAAAGGGGGCTGGGGGCATAATCCTCGTGAGTTGTGCCGATGGAAGATACTCACTAGCCTGATTTGTCCGTGGGCTGTTCAGCAGACACGCTATATGCAGACATCTGAAACAAGAAATGGTATTGGGGTTAAAACTAATTTTTTTTTAAACCCAGAAGGTACACATATCAGGGCGGGGACACTTGCAGCAATGATGCTCGAATAAAAGCAACGTAGTCATCTTGGTACATTCGCCGACGAATGAATATCGAGGCAACGTAAGCTTACCCACATGATAAAATGCACAAACAGAAACAAAAGCAAAAATAATGACGAAGCAAGCAATGAAGTTCATGTTTGAATTGTATTTTACATGTAATGCAAATACAATTAAAACTAAATAACTACGCAATAAACGTCGTATTGAATTAGCTTAACAACGTCGCAAGCTGACATTTTCTTAACGCAAATAATTCCCCAACAAAACCATAGTATGGCACAAGACAATGCACATGATAAAAAAAACACAATGCACATGATAAAAAAACACAAATGCTGGCCGGCTTTGTCTCCTAATATGATGTGCGTAACGCAGATCCTTTGTTACAGACGCACCAACTGGGCATCTTTAAGAAGCAACACAATTTTTTTATCATTTGTTTTTTTTTTTAAAGCCCTCCCTCCCCTCCTCTCTCTCCACGCACCACCACGGGGATCACTAACTTACCATTCTTAACGAACCACCACCAGCACCACCACCAACGGCGCGCATTTCGTCCCATTCATGATATCCTCTGCTACGACTTGCAGAGCAAAACAATGGGAGCGTGCGAAAGCACGCTCCGACTGCACGGCGACGCTCATCTCTCGTGTCGACTGCACGATCGTACAGTGCTCCACACACACACAATGTGATCTGCTTTGGGGGGGGGGCAGCGGCTGTGCCGTGAATTCAGATGACGAGGGGGGGGTGATTTAAGGGACTCCGAGTGGGGCGACCTCGTCACTTGCTCAACGCTAACCATTATACGGCGTTGTGATTGTGGGGAAACCTCTTGGTCGGCTATTTTTCATCCACCCCCCCCTGACATGTAATGCCTCTTCCCAAGTATATGCTATAACAACACCTACCGGGCACGCGATGTTTTTTTTATCGATATTTGTGTAAAAAACCCCGCGCTATATAATCATGAATAAATACCCATCTTTGTACTGTATTCCACTTCCTATTTCGATGTATGTGACTTAGAATTGTCTATTCCACATGTAACCATTAATATAATTACAAAACAATATACTTTGTGCATTTTATTTATTATCTGCAAGGATTCACACAAAATCAATATGCATACTGTCTGATAAAAAATCAAATGCACAGGTTTCCAATAACAACCTTTAATGCTTCCTGTAAAGATAACATACTTTACAAACCAGCTCTCCAACTATCCAATATGCGGGTGATGTTACCAAATGAAATAATTATTTAATGTTACGTGTTTCAAATTATCGTTCATAATACAAATTGCATAACAATTTATAATTATCATAAAATATAACACACTATAGCTATTTAAGTAAAAACAAATATTTTGTCATTATTCTGTACATACCAATACCATTTATTAAATTAAATAAAAATGTCCATGGGCAAAATACTCGGGGGCTTAATTTCATCCAGATCCTGGTTAGCAACCGAGAAAATATGAACACACCTAGCACATTCATCTTGCTTTGGTCACATGCCACCCTCCCAGAATTTGTAGCCATAGAGCGACCCAGAAGATATTCGGTGAGATATGAACCCTGGAAATACTCCAAGTTAAACCTACACCCACCACCGAGCACTATAGAAGAATGAAGGCGAGCTCGTCAAGTCGAATGAGAGTGACACGCGAGCCCTTCAGCCGATTTAAAATGTTCTTCTCGCCCACGATGAAAATGGAATGGTCGCAAAGAGAAGCACAAACCGACTGGGGGACAGCGACTGGGGGACACCGGCTGGGGGACACCAGCTGTGCAGCATCAACGCCTGGACCTGCAACGTTGTATTGCTGGCAGCCAATATAATCCACCTAAAATCGGACAGCTTACGCCTAAACCCCTGCAGACGCCCTCACCAGTTGTCCCATATCCCCCCCCCCTTACCCCTGGGTGTACGTGAATCACGGCCACACGTGCATGCAGTGGTGCCCAGGCACACTGTGGAGGTGGGGGTGGGCCTACGTGGGAAGACGCCTAACATTGCGTCCCATAAATGTGGGCGAAATGTGACAGCAACAAAAAAAAGGTGTCGTCTTTTGATGAATTTGTTCCAGCGGGGATATGACGCGCGATTACAATGTGTCTCGTGTCGCAGTGAGGAGTTTTGAGGAAAATAAATGGCAAACCGCTGAAATGATGTGCTGTATTTTTCATTCGGAGGTCGAGCAGATGATTTCAAAGCAAGCTGGGTTTGAATATTTATATAGCATAGCACTGATGAAGGGTTCCTAAGAACAGCTGAATTAGATGAGTTGTGTTGGTTGCATCAGCAGTGTTATTTTGCTTCCCATATAGACTTTGTGCGTTAGCCTATCAATGGTACATGACAAACATATTTAATACATTACTGTAAATATATAAAAATGAGCCACTTACAGCGATCGAATTTGGAAAATGAATAATTTTAAATTAGGGGAAAAATACTATGACATTTAGGAAACTGAAATGTATTACATTTGAATAAGATTATGAATTAACACAACTTCAGATTAAAATAACTGTTTTAATGGTATGCATGTACCTTCAATGTGCATTTTTTCTTATTTTAAATTTATAATATACACAGCACAATACATCAGTTTGATTTGCACGTTGTCTGTTGTTTTGAAAACCTGGAAATTCAAGATTAAGCCATGAATCTGCGATGCTTGCTAGTCTGACCTCAAACCAATGCTGACCGACAATGAGAGGAGATTTCGTTTAATAATAAAATGCTGAAGAAGCAGCAGCAGAACATTACGATGAGCTTATGCTATGAATCAGCACTAATTAAAGCTTACGAGGCAAAACTTTACACAATAGATTTCTCCTCCACGCAACTTACCATATATTCGAATCGAAAATCTATTGAAATAGAAAAAACTGTCGTTGAAGCTGCACCTAAACATATATATTAAAGATTTGAAGTTTTCGTGACTGCAAGGATTCCATAATCTTTGGTTCTTTCGGTAAAGTAACGGAGGTGAAAAAAAATGCCTACGTGACTTTACCAAAAGACCCCATTTATATATATTAAAAAAGACAAAGTAGATTACCAGAATTCATAAAAAAGATCTAGACGTCAATAAGTGTAAAACCAACATCATCTTCAGCCATGGTCAATCCACTGCTGGAAGAAGGTCTCTCCAAGTAAAAAAAAATAGTACAAGCAGCCTGTTATTACTCAGATACATATTTCGTATTTGCAGAGCAGTCAACATATTTAATTTCCACTTGGTTAGCCTGGTATGAGACGATGAAGGCCGGTCAAACCTTTCCGTTACCATTGCCAGGCTCTGTGCATGCAGGTTCAGGCAAGCACAGCAAAAAAACATGTTAACAATACTCCTGGGCGGAGACATTAATGCTAAATGAGCGCCACCAGTGCAATGGTGCTTGGTTCACTGCAACCTTGAACGTTTGAAAAACATCTCTAACATTAACACACGAAATAGCTTCATAGCACGTAAATACTTATTCCTAAAAAGCCCTTAAGAATTGGCTGATAACTCCCAAGGGAAATTACATTACCTATAATTTATTGTGCAAGAGATTAAAATGGAAGTAAATTTACGAATTACATTAACGAGTATTCGGTCATATATTATGCACGAGTTTAAACACATTTTGGTACTCAAATGCAAAAAAAAATGGGACAGTAAGAATGCAAGATTTTTTTTTTTACAATTTCAGTAAAACGGTAAAGACTCAGCCCTGCAATTGCCTGCTCACGTCACCGTTTGTGGAAGGACCTCCACTAGAGGGAGCTCTGGAGAGCCTCTCTCGGTGATACGTTGGTACATTTGTCAGAAGTCTAGGAAGTGGTGATCATACCCCCCCACAAGTTACCCCACCGCACTTGACCTGCCAATCAACTGTGGTGTGCCCATTCACGCGGCTGGGTGGAGAGAAGGGGGAGGATTTAAGAAACTTGCCCATTGTTCCAATCGCCACGACGGGTGACTTCTGGATTGCAAGTCCATTGTGCTATCCATGATACCACGGCAGCCCCTTTCTAATCAGTACCATGATTGAAATATGATCAATTAAGCCACATTTTGGGAGGTAACTGAATTGAGAAGATAATAAAGATTGCATGGGTTAGTGCATACACATGCAATGAGTAGAATATTGCCACTCAGCTGTGCTTTAATGTGCCACACGATAACAGAGGAGCTGAATCACATGTGCGGTATACTGTACTCTGCAAATGTGGTTGTCCACAACCACATGTTCGGCCATCAGACGCCCAATGTGTCTGGTCAGCAATGAGCTTCTCTTGGAGTAATAACAGGAAACAGATTTCTATTGTCACGGGTGAGGTGGTGGGAAATGGCAGCACCCACAAGGGAAATCCCTCGGCCAGAAAAAACATGCCACCCAAAACAAGACTTAGCAACAGCTCTCCCCTGACCCTAGCCTCAAAAGCGGTGGCGGCGGCGGCTTTTGCTTATGGGAATATATCAGGAATGCAAAATCCTTTTGTTTTAATTCCAAAGCAATGTGTTGTTATTCACTCGTGCAATGCACTTTTTCAAAAGTGCACAAAAATACACTTTATAAAAAAAATGCTGGACAATGGATGAGAGTGTAACATCACAATTTCAAGCCAAAACCATTGATTTATATTTTCCGTAATTTTTTTCCCCAAACAGCTTTTGGTTGCCATGAATAAACTCAACACGATCGATCAATGGCTCTCACGGCCACTCATACAGAAAGCTTTGATGGTACATTTAAAGCTGAAAAAAAAGAGTTCTCTTTTTAGCTATGAATAATAATAATAATGCAATTTTTGGAAATACTTCAGATTTTTTTCTTGTCCTGTGTATGTCACATTTTCAAGTTGCGTGACACATTCTGCATCATATTGCGACACCTTCCTTTACAAAAAAAGTTTAAGAATTTACCTGTCCCAAGGTGGACAATACCATTGGATCATAACATTGAATGATATAATTTGTGAAAATTACCAGTATCAATTTTATTTAATAAAAGCTTATATGAAGGAAATATGTATTTATATTAGTATAAATATGTGGAGGAATGTGTAGATGCGTAAATAAATAATACACTTGATATGACCTTGGTCAGAAACAGAAATCTGAGAAGTTAAAAAAGATGTTTAAGACACGACTGGGTTTCAAGCTTAGCTTCAGTTAATTGTCATATAATACCACAGAGGAATTACTGTCTCCCAGTCACCTTGTCATACGCCGAGACAATGTCATGCAACACGTGGAAATGTCGAGCACATCAGAACTGTGCGTATTGCAGGAATTGACAATATACTAAGTGACATCACTGCATACCGAGATTACACAGAGATTCCAGTTGTACCCAGCATTACCATAGAGACGCTGTCACAACACGTGTCGAATGAATAGTCACATTCTACTTGTAACCTTTAAGAGGGTTACAACCAACCCCCATGTAGTGCAGAATCTAGTGCTTTCAAGAGGCGACCACTTCGCAAGCAGCATCACTGAACTATGCGCACAGCCTCGCGAAAGGAACGATTTTACTCTACAACATGGGACCTCCTTTGCCAGTACCAAAATATGATAAATAGGGTTTTCTCCTTTTTTCTGGCAACAAAACAGTTGTGTTAAGATGTTAAAACACCAAACTGAAACCTTTTACAAGGAATCATGTCTGCATTAACCACAATGCCTGTAGTCAGAACGCAAACAAAAAGCATACTATCTTGATTTGAAGCTTTTGTGACTGCAGGAATCCATACTCTTGAACGAAAGAACTAAAGTGTATAAAAAAACAACACTGATAATATATGCATTGTCCTTGAAAGTGATTGGTCCATACCCAGAGGCAGCTTTCTTTTGAGCCAAAAAAGGGGAAAACCTATTTTCATATTTTGGCACTGGCAAAGGAGGTCCCATGATGTAGATGCTCACCCCGAGCTCTCATTACTCTGATAGTGCATTGCCTTTGGGCTGTACGCCTTTTGGCGTCCTTTGGTCTAGCACCAATTGAGGAGGCTCAAAAGAAGGTGTCTCTGGTGTGGACCAATCAGATTCAAGGACAATGCATATATTGTCAGAGTATGTTTTTTTGTTTGCATTCTGACCACAAGCATTGTGGTTAATGCAGACATGATTCCTTGTAAAAGGTTTCAGTTTGGTGTTTTAACATCTTAACACCTGATTTAAAGCTTTCGTGACTGCAGGGATTAATATTCTTGGTTCTTTCGGTAAAGTCACGTAGAAGGGAAACAATATAATAATAAAAAGAAAACAATACAATTCTCACGACGTTTCGACTACAACACAAGCAATCATCATCAGGTGTGAAAACCACAGCAAGAAAACTGTTTTTCAAATTTTCTGAAAACCACAGCAAGAAAACTTTTTTTCAAATGTTCTTGCTGTGGTTTTCACACCTGATGATGATTGCTTGTGTTGCAGTCGAAACGTCGTGAGAATTTTATTGCATTTATATTTTTATTATTTTATTGTTTCCCTTCTACGTGACTTTACCGAAAGAACCAAGAATATCTTAACACCTGTTTTGTTGCCAGAAAAAAGGGGAAAACCCTACTATCAGATTTTGCTTGACTCGAGCACAATTTCTTGCAGTTATATTCTATCCACTTGAAGGTTACCAATCTGCAAGTTCAACTGCCAATTACATAAACAAACAATATCGACAAAGCTCCCTAGTTCGCCCATTGGCATACAACTCCTCCATCTGCTTCACGCTGCCCTGATCTTAAGATCTCTGCAACTGCTTTTACCTTTGATCTGCCGCGAGAACTACATTTAATTGCCACGTTTACCGCTCACCACCCGACTATTTGATCCTGGGAGTTGGCAACAGACACCAGGCTAGGGACCCGATCGTACGCATGAGTAAACAGCGCGAGCGGCTCTAGCCATAACCACAATCTGTAATTGTGAACACATAAAAAAAACACGTCAAATTATATTAGTGCCCATTCAGTTATATGGATTCCATCAGGCTCTTCACTGTCTAATTAAAATATATTTAGCATTGTTTATACAGTGTACGATGGATATGAGCACACCCAATGAGAACAAGTTCAGGTATACTTTGTATGTGCGGTAGTTTAACATACCTGTTGCCTTCTCCATACAAATATAACGTAAGCATGTGTTGTTTAAATCAGAACTGTGCTTAAATAAGGTGCGCTTATATCCAGCTTCTATTGTTCAATTTAGTCAGCAGCAATACTTTATTAAATTAAAGACTGATCAACCCAAGTTAGGCTTCAACACAATATCATAGTTGTTTTGTCTGAAAACATTGTTCTTCCCGTCGATAAGTTATTGCATTCAAGATATCTACAGCTGTTGACACACAGAGATGCAAGTTCCATGAATGCACATACCACGCACTCAAAAGTTCTGCAACAATGGGCGTGCTTACACCCACATTTATGCACACACATAGGCAGGCATAGACACGCTCTCATATTCATACTTTAGATGTAATGTAGCCCAAAATATATTTGGACAGCCACTGAGACGTGACCCAGTCACAGCTATAAATTTATTAATTTTCCAGTGTCACGACAGCTACCTTGGATGTTGCAGAACATCTATGTGAACCAGTTTCTTTTCTCCGATTGGCAACAACACATGGTGGATTTGTGATAACGCAGTAATTAGCACACTAATCTATGAACCAATGACCTTGGTTCGATACTTGGCAAGTGATATCTGAATCAGTCATGGGCCCTCCCCTCTCATAAACCATACAGACCAGAATGACGACATATGATCAAACAACCCCCACAACCAATATGGTATGACAAGCCTTCATTCAGCAGTGGGCTTACAAAGATGTGTACATTATTAATACTATAAGCAATCCGTTATTTCACCATTCTAAATTGTATCCATTCAAAACCTATTTATTAATTTTGCAAACAAAAATAAGTTGTGGTACCCTAACACCACATTCAGAGAAAGATACCTTTGAATGTTAAAAACACCAAAGACAAATTTCCCCCGTATAGCCTTAACATATTGTTGGGGCAAGTGCTGTTAGCGAGCATCTATGAAGGCCAGAACGGTAGACGAGGGGGTGGGTGGCCAGCACTACGCCCGACCGCCTTTGTCTCCCCAGTGCACGAGGTACTCATTTGAGCCTGAGTCGATTTAGGGGCGGCCCAGGACCGGTTCAATAATTGTCACTGGTGTTGGCCGTGAACGGGAATCAAACTCGGGTCGCTGGTTTCATAGCGCAGCTACATACAAATTGGTCCATCCATTGGTCCAACAATACAGCAGGAGGAATGCCGAGGTATATTTGTGATTTGTGCTCAACATCGAGAGAGAAAATGGAACGGAAACATTCTGTTTACACGATGGTTTGGCATTGAAACGATACTCCGTAGTTTGCAGTCATTCAACAAAAAGAGTCAAGAAGCATGCCCTATAGCAATGAGTAGACTGCAGGTGAGGTTACACGATGCATACAAAGCAGCAGCAGCAGTAGCGAAAATAACAAAACTACGAATGATATTAAAGCATTAGAACACCAAGTGCACACACAGTTTGACTGTGTCTGACTGCTGTTAATATAAGCGGCTGAGTGCAACATGACGGGAGCTAATGAAGATCATTTTCCCTGACAAGAGCCTTGGTCAATCTAATACAATTTTACGATAATTTGATGTGGTATTGCTTCGTCTTCTTCTTTCGTATGGCTGGTGTAGATGCAAAGCAAACAACAACTAGAATTTCACGTTTAGGTGGTCAAACCAGATAATCGAGTCAGAAGCGGAGTAGTGTATCGCTATGATGTCTCTTTTGCGACGTATTAATTAATACAGTCCAATCGAACGGGCCATTATGCAATGTTACATATTTGATAGGTTACTATCCGTTCAATGTTATTTTAGCAAAGCGCGTATTGGTGTATGTTAGATTTGGTTTCATTATATATATTGTGTATATACTGTACACGTACAAATGTAGAATTCAAGAATAAAATAATTGCCATCTTGTGTTCATATTTGTATTGTTTTTTAAATACCGGTCCATATGCTTTTGACTTTAAGAATATTTCCGAATTCAGAATAATATTACAAGTGGACATACATTTTTTACAAGTATTTATCTTTTTTTTAATCTAAAATCAGGCTTTAGTAGGTAGAGAGAAAAAAAAAACAGTTCAATAGCATTATAAATGTATTCTGACTTTATTTGTAAGTTTATGTACATTGTGAATGTATTTTTGTGCCTATAAATATTATTTTCAAAGACTGAAATAGCTTTAAAATAGATCATGGGTCTACACTGAAAAATACTAGACAGATTCAACAAGATTGTGGGTAGGTGACCCAGGGTGGATATATATTACCTGCTTTTCCTGGGGAGGCAGAATGGAACAGTTGCCTGGCGTGTATTCCCAGATCTTTCTGCGAAACTTATGAGGAGGAAAGGACAGATGAGATGAGAGTTGGAAAGGAATAGAGGGACTAAGATAAGACATGCAATACGAGGAGGCATTAGTAACAGAAGCGTCATGCTGGGAGACAGAAGAGACTGGGAAAAATCCATAAATCTGAGAATATACCAGGGTGGCTGTGTGGAGGAAAGAAGCCATCCAGGCTTCACTGGCGAATTTTGCATTTGCACCAGCTAATGAGATAAAATGGAGTTACAGTGCAAATGTGGTAATGTAGAATAAAATACATGTGTACATATTTAAGAGGCACACTGAGATAAAACATAATATATTTGAAACACTAGACAGTTCTAGGCATCCTATTAAAATACAGTATAAGCCACAAGGAAATGATAATGGATGATTCCTAAAGATAATTACATTAAAATAATACAGGATATCTTTTGCTTAAATGTTAAATTTAAATATCCGTATCATGAAGAAAATATTAATTAAGTATGAACGTTTTTTTTGGTAAAATGTGTGATCTATTTTGTACTTGCAAATACAAATGTATTTTTGGGAACCTTAGCATTTATCCGACTATTTTTTTTACAAATGAGATGTGCTTGTGAGCGAGGATTATATGAAAATTGGCATTACAATCATCAAGCTCATGCCCAATGAAAATAAATGTAATTGTGAAATGAACCTGTCATTTTGCTGACAGTTCTGCAGATGCACAGGATAGTGTTTTGCAGCTGTAATCATAGACTCAGTAAACACTGTATTATTAGTTAATGATTTACCTCCACGTATTGCAAACATACTTTCAAAACACTTCCTAATAATTGCAAAAGTAAAAATTACCATGATCAATGATCAAAACCAAATTAATTTAATGTTTAAGCTATGGTAAACACAGTATCATAGCTCTCATAAAAATATTAAATACACCATCCCAAATGCCTACTAAAATATCTAATAACAAATCCTTCTAAAATATCGAAAACTAATTTAAAATTAGTCTTAAATTCATATTCTCAGCGAGGTTCCTCAACTGCTGTAGGAGAATGTGAACAGCTTCGGCAATTTTAGTAGGGTCATACAATTCATACATATATATGATGGGTGGCCGGAAGTAATACAATATCATGTGCCCACTGCCTGCCCAGCTGTGGACATGGAAGCAGTATCATAATTCAGGTTAACCATTCGCATGTGAAGTTGCCAGGACTGAGGACTCGAGTACAAGATGGTCCTGCCGGGCATTGAGAACAAGTGCTACGCAGGACCATTTGTTGTCCTGACCCAGCATACGTAAGTGTGGAGGTGAGCGGGTGCAAAGACGAATGCCACATATAAATGCCTTTATTCGTTTTTTTCCCAGAGCCTGCAACAACACGTACTCAATTCAGGTTGTCCTGACCTGGCATGGCCCTCAAAGAGCACAATTGATATAATCAATTTGCAAGCCACAGCAACGGGAGCGCAGTGTACTACCCACAAACACTGTTACCAAATCCATCCATATGGATTTGTGCAGCCTCACAATTTCTAAATATATATTTTGCTCTGACTGCAAAGAACACATCCTATAAAATTTCAAACAAACCCATCAGATTATTTTAAAGGTCCCAGCCCATAAACGAATTGCATATAAAGAGGTGTTTTTGATTTAATAAATGCAAAGATTAAAATGTTTATTATACAGGTATCTAATCAGACAATCAATAAGTTTGTTGTCAAGGAAAACATTGTTTCAATGTTCAACAACATTATGTAAAACCATGAAATCACGTTAAAAAAACTAAGCCTGATAAAGGCAGTGCCGTGTACTTAAAATTATCGATTTTTATCACACAAAGCAGCATTTTAACATTTCTCACAGTGGTATGTTCTCAGTAAAAAAAAATCAGTAAAAATTACATGAGTGCGATTTAAAATTATTTTGAAAAAAAAGGATTAATTTCACACCGCAGCCTTCGAATATAGCTGCGTGAGGAACTAAAATCACCCATGGAATGATTTTCCACACAGCGGTTAGACCCATAATGGTAAGGACTGAGCCACGTTAGATGAAGACAAAGCTGAGCCACATGATATCACACGGTGCTGATTTGCCACTAGTAGCGTGGGATGGTTGCCGTGATCAGGGGAGGCCCATGATTCAGCTCAAGACACCCACTTACCGGCCTTTGGCCAAACTCCAGTTCGGCAAAGAACTTATACCACTCCTCGTTCTGAACGTCTATCTCCTCCATACTTACATAGCTCGGCTAGAGGATGCAGAAGTGAGAAACAAGCATGACACAGGAGGGACATTTTTCAAACAAAAGAGAAGGAAAATTAAAACCCTGATACAACATTGCCATTGGATAGAGGACCACCATAATTCAGAATCTCTATAGAGAAGAACTGCCAAAAACAAATGAGAAGAGTGAACACTAAAACAAAACAAAGTAGATTAATTTCCTTTCAGTGAGATATCTAAATATTAGGTATACTTCCAGACAACAGTTTTACACAATTTCAAATTCACAGTACTTTGTGATATAATGCAAAACAACTAGGCCACAATGTACACAATTCACATGGGTTTAAGGAACACTTTTCTGGTCACCAGGCAGTTTATTCAGTAAGTAAACTTACTCTGCGTGTCATTCCTGTTTCCCTTCCATTCTGTCTCTCCACCTGTTCCTCCTCCTGCACAATCTTTCTTGTACCCATTGCTTCAGGCCCTGTTTTCATTCGCTCGGCTGCGTTCTCAGCTCGTCCGTCTGAACCCAGCCTTCCATAGGCCTGCGGCTTCTTCACTGGGAGCTCCTGCCACAGTGTTTGTGGCTCCTTCACCATCAGGCCAAACGTGGTACAACATGCGGAAAAAGAGACATTGTGCTTTTTTCCTGTCCCATGTGCCTTGCCGTGCAGTTGAAAATTTGTACCTACTGAACAGCTGTTTAACTGTCAGGCGTTTGGCTCCCACTAATGCACAATTGTCATTTCACTCAAAAGCGTATCACCTGCTCTTCATGCATAAATAAAAGGTAGCCACTTGTGATCTTGGCACACATTGTTTGGACTCGTTATGGATAGAGCTAAAATAGGAGCCATTACTTCATCAACAAATGGTAAAATGACAAAGAACAGGAAAATCAATATCCGAATGACAGTCTAGAAAAGTTTTAATACAGCCTTAAGTTTGAACATAGGAGAAGATGATGTCACAGCAGTTTTTGATATTCACCACAACTGCTCATTAAAATGTCAAAGCAGTTAATAAACTTGGATAACACCTCAGTGTAATTAAAAAAAATCCAATTCACTCAATTAAATAATAAATTATCTACAATTAGGTCACTCCCATTCGCACATGAACAGCATTGATGCTAGTAGATAATACATTAATTAATATTATTCTCCTGAAACGGAAAACCTTCTTTCTTGTATAAAACAAAAGGAAAATTGTGTATTAGAGTCATGCCAGGCATGCTTTTCCATGAAAACAATAACTGGGCACAAGGTCAATTATGCCCAATTATGTTCAGAAAATAAAAAATATATATACTTTTATGAACAGTTATTTAGAAATTTCATTTTACCTTCTCATTAAAGTCACACAAGTGAATTTATTAATACAATTAAAAAATTCTAAGCATACACTACAAAGTTTAATCACTTAAAGAGTCCAAATAACACGCTAAATTAAAAGAAACCTGGGGGGTAGTAGTATTGGTGCGGGTGGTTAGTGCACTGTGAAATAAACCTGACGATCTCAGTTACATTTCTGGCCGTTGCAACATCAGCTGCGATTGATATTTGAACCAGTCACAGCTACAACCTAATTTTCTTCACCAACCAACAATGACCGATATGATGAAGTATACTGTACTCTACTCAAACAACCCCCATGACTCAAATGTGGGGCAATCCTCACCCAGCAGTTAAAGGACTTTAAAAATAATAATGAATTCAAATATATCGTCCCCTCTAGAATGCAGAAATTTAAGTGGACTTCCTTCACAACACAACAGCCATGACTGGACTCAAAAGGGCCTGCCAGGAACATATTGTCCCCCCCCCATCTTCAGATGACACACACACACAAAGACACCGGGAGTAATAGGAGGAGCGAGATTCACATCGTCAGCTCCTAGCATATCTCAGCAACCCAACCAGCGAGACAGAGCAAAAGAGTCACACGAGCAGAGCCTTCAGCGACAACCAAAGCAACTAGCTCAGTCTGCTTCGGCATGGACACAGCATCCAGAACCAACCAGTGGAGTATGAACTCGACACATTCTGTGCACAGTCCTTGGAAGTATTTAACACACAATGGGGGTAAACAAATGTGTATATTTTCTCAGTTGATAAGGAATCAATAATAAGCCACATTTTCTTAAGGCAGCAAACAGCAGTTAAACTATTTACCGGTGACTCGAATGGCTTTGCAAGGCTTCCTTTATATATGTGTAAAGGGCACAAGCTTATGAGAACATTTTGTTTTGGTAAAGGAGAAACTCACACATTGCTAAGTGTTTGCAAAGAAAAGCCAAGATAAAAGGAACGAATCGTGAGGCGAAGTGCATAAATCCTTCTCTTACCGGTGCTTCCTTGTCTAGAACGGATGACCTTCCCGGCTCATACTCAAAAATACTCTTGGGCTCCGCACGATAGCTCCGTGTGTCCACGCGTTTGTCAGGGGGCTCCCACTCGCTGTCGGATGGGTGGGTGCAGGGGAAGGCGAGGGTGGGTTGCAGGATGGGGGGCGTGGGGTGGGTGGGTGCAGGGGGAGGGGAGGGTGGATGGATCCATGGGGAGGAAAAGGAGGGTGGGTGGGTGCAGGAGGGGAGGGAGGGTGGGTGTAGGAGGGGAGGGTGGGTGCAGGAGGGGAGGGTGGGTGCAGGAGGGGAGGGTGGGTGTAGGAGGGGAGGGAGGGTGGGTGGGTGCAGGAGGGGAGGGTGGATGGATCCATGGGGAGGAAAAGGAGGATGGGTGGGTGCAGGAGGGGAGGGAGGGTGGAGAGTGCAGGAGGGGAGGGGCGGGTGGGTGGGTGCAGGAGGGGAGGGGCGGGTGGGTGGGTGCAGGAGGGGAGGGGCGGGTGGGTGGGTGCAGGAGGGGAGGGGCGGGTGGGTGGGTGCAGGAGGGGAGGGGCGGGTGGGTGGGTGCAGGAGGGGAGGGAGGGAGGGTGGAGGGTGCAGGAGGGTGGGTGCAGGAGGGTGGGTGCAGGAGGGGAGGGAGGGTGGGTGGGTGCAGGAGGGGAGGGTGGGTGCAGAAGGGGAGTGAGGGTGGGTGGAGGAGGAAAGGGAGGGTGGGTAGGTGCAGGAGGAGGGTCGGTGCAGGGGGAGGGGAGGGTGGGTTGCAGGAGGGGGGAGCGTGGCGTGGGTGGGTGGATTGTACGGAGAGGGGTGGGCGTTTGAGAGAAATGCGGGAAGCGAGAGTGGGGAGGGAGGCAATTGGTTGGAAACTCCCAGCAGCATCGTCATATGGCAACACAGTGCGCATGGCATAGAAGAAGCCTCATAGCGAGCCATCATCTGTTACACCAACTATCTTCATCACGGATGATATATCAAAAGAAAGGAAACTGTTCTTTAATACAATAATACACACTGAAGGCAAAGGTTTACTCAAGGACAATCAATTATAAAGCTACCGAAGGTGAAAACAATCGTACAAACTCCTGTCATTAAAATTATTACGTTTAAATCAAGTGTATTTCAAAACAGTTCATCATCGCATCATATACAGTATCGAATTATTAATTTATATTAAGCAATGCATAGCTGCTCAAATAATAGTATTTACTTTTTAAATAGCAATTACACAGCGACAATGATAACAATCTCAGGGCGATAATTATCAATCCATCTGGTGGTAACACAAAAATGTAAACCCCAATTTTAAAATAAACGAGCAAACCGCACATCCTTTGGATGCAACCGTCCCGCCCCTCCCAGCCAGCAAGCAAAACTTTAATTCTTATATGGAGCCCATTCTCTCTCCACCTTTCTCTTGCCTTCTCAGTACTGTCGGAATTTATCTCGATTTCTCGCCGTCTCTGTTTCTCAAATCTTGTCGCCTCTCCTCCATCCGCTATCTCAACACCCCCCCCTCCACTCCTCCCATCTCTCCCCTTGTTTTTCTCTCTCACTTCTCTCCCCTCCTAAATTCCCCCCCCCCCCTTCCGTCTCAATCTCTCTCGCCTATCCTCTCTCCCCAACAGCTCGTCACGTTCCCTCGCTGTCCACTTTCCGTTTTGCTCTCTCCCGTTTCATGCCCTTTCACTCTCTGCCCCCCCCCCCCCGTTTCTTCCTCCCCTCCTCTATCTCCCACCCTCATCGCTCTCCTCTGTCTCTGTCGCTCACCTCCCTCCTCTATGAAGTTATGGCCGTATGATACGCAACACGTGACAGCACTGGCACGGCAATTGCACTGGAGACACGTCCGGAGTGGAGCGTGGACAGAACAAAGATCCCCCCCGTATAGTCTTAGCAGACTGTTGGGGCAAGTGCTGTTCGCGAGCACCTATGAAGGCCGGCACGGCACACGAGGGGGTGGATGGCCAGCGACCACGCCCGACCGCCTTTGTCTCCCAGGTGGCGATGTTTACACACCGCACCAGGTACTCATTGTTTTAGGCTGAGTCGACCCAGGGGAGACCCAGGACAGGTAAAGATAATCGTCACTGGTGTTGGCCGTGAGCGGGAAATCGAACTCGGGTCGTCGGGTTCGTAGCTCAGCGTAGCGCTAACCACTTCACCACCGCTCCCTGGAGTGTACGGGGGGGGGGAGGAAAGTGACGTCGTCACGCAGATGTGCCCTGTGACGTCACCACCACGCACGCGCACTTTTGGAGCGCGGCAGTCAAGCCAGACAGGATTCCACCCAGGTCATCCAGCCGAATAATGTTTTTTGTTATTATAATACAGTATATGATACTGCACGTGCACGAACACTGCCGATATACAAGTAAAGCCATAACAGCAATATTCTCAAATTAATACAAACCGAAAAACACAATACATATATTTGGGATAAACATTACCCCAAAACAAAATACATCTGTCAACGTTTTTAAGGGAACCTTTGAATAACTTTGGAAGAAAATAATCCTCCTTGCTTAAATACTCACGTATATTCTTGGTTCTTTCGGTAAAATCACGTAGAAGGGGAACAATAAAATAAGAAAAATATAAAACAATAACATTCTCACGACGGGAACCTTTCAATTTTATTGTTTTATACTTTTATCATTTTATTGTTTCCCTTCTACGTGACTTTACCGAAAGAACCAAGAATATGAATCCCTGCAGTCACGAAAGCTTTAAATCATACTCACGTTCGTTAAACGGTTTTGTTGTTGGTGATGATGACGATGATGATGAAAAAATGGTGGTGCAGCAACATGGGGAAAATGTTTGAAGTTAACTTACTTGCACTCCACTGGGGCGAGAATTACGGAGTTCATGCTGCCTGTTGTTAGGGTTGATGCCCACCGCACAGTGTGAATTCACAACTGAAGCAGCATTATTATACCCTACAGGCTCCGCTGGGAATATCACGCGGCTTTCCACAATTCTCTCTCAGTCTTGGTGGTGGTGGCGTGGGGTGGGAGGACAGGGGGGGAGGTAGATTTCCTACAGTCACGCCACGTGACACCACCACAAGAAAATGCTTTCACGTGTAAAGCAAACTAATGGCTTATTGCTGGAATACAAACTATTGGCAATGTTGTTGAAATACAAGGCACAGAGGGGCGGCTATGAATACTCTTCGTGGTGTTTGTTCGCGACAATTCTGTTAATGGCGTTTCGCTTACAATTCTCTTGCGCGACTGCAATGAAATAAAGGTCGTGCAGAGAAGGGTATAAAGACTCAGGAAATGGCTCGCAAGGATTTTCTTTTCCTGGCTCCTAAACCGCAGCAGAGTTAAATGCAACTTCCCGTCCCTGGGCAAAAGTAAACACACAGCGTCACCAGCCCATCCACACTAAAACTGTGGCCTGTGGTCCTCTATCCTAATTGCAAATCGAGAAGGCCTCACACCGCTCTAAAATATAAAAAAATATAACATGTAACGTCAGAGCATGACACTGCTCTGCATAGGTTTACGAAGTGGGTTTCACATACGTGATTAATATATATTACTTTTTATTCAATAAGGCATTTCATTCATGCTGTAATTATTATGGTTCTATGCAACATTCACCACAACAGAACAGAGAAGACCGATTTGCAGCCTCATCAAATCGGTCCAGAAAAATCTATATTTTAAGCAGACATGTGACTATATCCCTGATGTGTTACACAAACAAGAAGTATGTCCAAAATGGAAGTAAACACAGTAAACCTTGCCATCTGTTACAAATTAAGCGCAACCCTGCACTGTAAATACACAGCAGGCAGAGTGAGGTTTGATGCAGTAGGAGTGTGGATAAGACTAGCATCAAATGTTTTCTTGTGTTTCATTAGTGTCCAGTTCCCTTCGCCTCCGATTAGCACGTTTGGCTACGTACGGTGCGAACTAAGTTCAACGTACAATATACAGTGAGGAAAAAAAGTATTTGATCCCCTGCTGATTTTGTACGTTTGCCCGCTGACAAAGAAATGATCAGTCTATAATTTTAATGGTAGGTTTATTTGAACAGTGAGAGACAGAATAACAAAAAAATCCAGAAAAACGCATGTCAAAAATGTTATAAATTTATTTGCATTGTAATGAGGGAAATAAGTATTTGACCCCCTCTCAATCAGAAAGATTTCTGGCTCCCAGGTGTCTTTTATACAAGTAACGAGCTGAGATTAGGACCACACTATAAAAGGGAGTGCTCCTAATCTCAGCTCGTTACCTGTATAAAAGGCACCTGTCCACAGAAGCAATCAATCAATCAGATTCCAAACTCTCCACCATGGCCAAGACCAAAGAGCTCTCCAAGGATGTCAGGGACAAGATTGTAGACCTACACAAGGCTGGAATGGGCTACAAGACCATTGCCAAGCAGCTTGGTGAGAAGGTGACAACAGTTGGTGCGATTATTCGCAAATGGAAGAAACACAAAAGAACTGTCGATCTCCCTCGGCCTGGGGCTCCATGCAAGATCTCACTTCGTAGAGTTGCAATGATCATGAGAAGGGTGAGGAATCAGCCCAGAACTACACGAGAGGATCTTGTCAATGATCTCAAGGCAGCTGGGACCATAGTCACTAACAAAACAATTGGTAACACATTACGCCGTGAAGGACTGAAATCCTGCAGCGCCCGCAAGGTCCCCCTGCTCAAGAAAGCACATATACATGCCCGTCTGAAGTTTGCCAATGAACATCTGAATGATTCAGAGGACAACTGGATGAAAGTGTTGTGGTCAGATGAGACCAAAATGGAGCTCTTTGGCATCAACTCAACTCGCTGTGTTTGGAGGAAGAGGAATGCTGCCTATGACCCCAAGAACACCATCCCCACCGTCAAACATGGAGGTGGAAACATTATTCTTTGGGGGTGTTTTTCTACTAAGGGGAAAGGACAACTTCACCGCATCAAAGGGACGATGGACGGGGCCATGTACCATCAAATCTTGGGTGAGAACCTCCTTCCCTCAGCCAGGGCATTGAAAATGGGTCATGGATGGGTATTCCAGCATGACAATGACCCAAAACACACGGCCAAGGCAACAAAGGAGTGGCTCAAGAAGAAGCACATTAAGGTCCTGGAGTGGCCTAGCCAGTCTCCAGACCTTAATCCCATAGAAAATCTGTGGAGGGAGCTGAAGGTTCGAGTTTCCAAACGTCAGCCTCGAAACCTTAATGACTTGGAGAAGATCTGCAAAGAGGAGTGGGACAAAATCCCTCCTGAGATGTATGCAAACCTGGTGGCCAACTACAAGAAACGTCTGACCTCTGTGATTGCCAACAAGGGTTTTGCCACCAAGTACTAAGTCATGTTTTGCAGAGGGGTCAAATACTTATTTCCCTCATTAAAATGCAAATCAATTTATAACATTTTTGACATGCGTTTTTCTGGATTTTTTGGTTGTTATTCTGTCTCTCACTGTTCAAATACACCTACCATTAAAATTATAGACTGATCATTTCCTTGTCAGTGGGCAAACGTACAAAATCAGTAGAGGATCAAATACTTTGTTCCCTCACTGTACATACATGAACATAATAGAGGGGTGGACTTATTTAATATAGCTGTTCCTCCTATTTGTTTATCTTTTCTCTAAATAATTGCGATAACTCTATCATAAAACCTACGCATTGTTACATTATCATTACTATTCTGGCATGAAAATATCCACCAATGGTACATGGCACATGGTGAACCACTGGTCTTTCCATCAAACCCGTGCAATATTAGTAAATTAAACTACACTATTAAACGTTGTTATACCAGGTAAGGCCTACTGAGCTATATAGCTTTTTTCAGAAGTGGTCCGGCCACAAATGATGGCTCAACGAAGTGCCTTATCACGTGGAAAGTTAAAGCGGCCAAATATTCCAAACGAATATTTTTCTAAACTCATAAAGACAGCTGGGATGTTTCATGGAGAAAGTCTGATGAGTAGAATGTCATTGTTGTCACCCTCTATGGGTGTATCATCAACGTGTTGGTCATCATTAGAAAGTGCACAATACGGAGCTATCGGACCAGCTGGTTCAGAAGATAGGCTGAAGATTGCCACAATCGAAAAGTTATTTCACAAATAAGGTTACTTCTAACAGTATACAGTAAATATAAAGTTTGTTTTCTTTAAAACTTATTGAACATATACGTTTGCTGAAGCAGAAACTTGATAACGTGAAATGGCAATTAATCACAATGAACATGTAAAAAAAAATTACCTGCGCTAAACAGTCAAAATGCCTACGATCAGAAGCGGGTTAACGCCTGGATAGCTCTTGGATGGGTGACAACCATGCATTAACCAGGCATTGTAGACCTATGCGGGGAAACATTGTCTCCACCTTCACCAATCCACACTGAGCGGCATGGCGAAATATGGATAAGCAACACCCATTGAGAGTGATCACGTGAGGAGGCTCTAATCCCGCAGTGGAGAGCCACACTTACTTTACATTGTTGGAAATCATACAAAAAATTGCAACAAATATCACGTCATACATGTACACTAAACAGCCAATATAGAATATCAAAAATAACTTTTTGCTCTGGCTTGCAGAACACCGCAACTGTATAGTCTTAAAAGATTACTAAACATGCAATGATGCACCTTCATCACGAGTTCATTCAGGAATCGGTTCTCTCTTGTCTTGTTTTTACAATCTCATTTGTTCTGTCTCTGTGTAATTCTCCCTTTTTCACAATCTTCATGTAACGATGAATCAATTCCGGTGAGTGAAGCTATGCAAGCTGTACGATATGCAAATAATGCAAGATGCAAATCAGGCCAGACTGAATTTATGAAGTCTGATAAACACTGAAATTGTGGATCAGGTCCCGCTTTATTCTGAATTTGATTTTCAATACAATCTTTGCAACGTGATTATATAAAAAAAAAACTCCCCTCGTACTTATCACTGATTTATCCGAATTGTAATCTCCGTTATCCAGCTGTTCAGTATAAATTGGGGAAAGAAGCACATCTGTTAGGTGCCTGTTTTAAATAACAAGTGTCAGCTTACCGCTGGGCCGCCGAGCGGAGGCAGATGCGCGCAGGCAGTGTGGCAGATCTCTGCTGCTGGGCATCAAAATCCCGGCTGTCCGACAAACTCTTGGAGCGCGGCACCACGTGATCTGCAGCCAGGCGAAGAAGAGCAACGCGGTTGTTAACCTCGCGCAACACTGCGAGGAGGATAAACACGCCGCCAGATGACAGAACGATGATGCATCGACAGCTCTGCTATAGCCTCCTACACGTTCAGTGGACACACGTACTTTGTTGTCCTGGAGGGTCGAGCTCCATTTGTATTGTTATTGCAAACAAGTACATGCAGAATGAATATAGAGTATGGTGATCATCATCATCATCATCTATTCCTTCTGTTGGCTCCTTAGCAACAATGAAACTGAACAAATTTCTGCCATGGCTCTATTTTTTTTAGCCAGCATTAAGGCTTAGTTCAGTCCCAGTCCTTTGTGTCCGATATATTTTACGTCACCTATCCACCTGGTTTTCTGTCACCCCCTACTCCTACTTCCTTTAAAATAACTCCAGATTTATTGTATTTGGTGAAGTGGTCTAGGAGAAGTTTTCTGAACAAATGTACACACATACATATGAGCTGCTTATAAGGTAGATGCTATGAAAATGGAACACGTAAGAATATTTCTATTTTCCACACATTCAAACAATAATTCCCTGCACAGGACCAAAATAACACCTGAGATTTCGCAACAGAGCAATACACAATTACGCAAGAATAAGACATTTTTTTTGCATAACTCATCGCATCTAAGTTATGAGGTATATTTAAAATGTAGGAGCTGGAGCGTGACAAATGGGAAAGTGGCCTACAATTGTGAAAATAGTGAAAATTAAAAAAATGTGGCACATTTAAAATGGCTGGTGACAGATGCGCATTTGCAAGCAATCGACCATAAAGCCAAGCCTTCTGGTACGGTTGCTATGTGACAGCCGATAAAGAAACGTGCAGAGCACAGTTCAGGCCAATACCTAAGTGTTCTACAAAATTACATTTTTTTGTATCACAATGGGATAAAAAGGTGTTATTGGTAAGTTTGAAAACATTATCGTGATCTGTAAAATGCGTACAATACATCCACCCTGAGCTCTCTCTTTTCGCATGCTTGGCTACCACAGAAGTGTCACATATGCAGCAAATTCCACGCATGACACATGGTCAGAAACATATTCTCGATATCACTGTCAGCACCAAAGGTAGAATTGCAAATTATCTACATTTGCATAGATATTGAAAATGTCGCACTAATATATGCAAATTAGCAAATACATAAGAATATAATATTTTAATTACATTACATTGACAGCAAGGAAATGAAAGTTTGGGGATATATAACGATACATTATCTGCACAATGTTCAACAGGATAATCGGTAAATGAAGCAGGCAACTGCACCAGGCCAAATTAATCATCCACTGTAACGTACAAACTAATTAATGATATTAAATACATTGATTATTTTATCACTTTCACCTGTTTTTTACGTCTATATGAATTTCACGTATTTATCAATGTTCATGTCTTCATTTGTAAAAAAATATACAATCAATTATACCTAAGGGCATACGTAAAAAAAAACTAATTAAGTTATATGCAAAAAATATATTTAAGCAGGTTAAAACCCACCAGACGTACCATCTGACCGAGGTGTGAAGGTACCATCTACTTCATCATCTTCTGTAACAACAAAAATCACATAAACCGTGAAAATAGCAACAAGAATGAAAACACCACGAATTGTCCCTCCACATTCAAGCCTTCGCGAGTAGCCCGTATCTGGGTGGGGTACCCGAGCCCAATTCTGTCCCCTTCATTATCCCCCACCGGGCCAAACTTGGGATGTTTTAGCGTGATTTTTGTTCCCGCTCCGTTCTGGGATCAGCGCTTTGTACCGGGCTCACATTCGGTTGTTATTAAAAACAATATAAAAAAACACCATTAATTTATATCAGTATTGTAGTGGAGAGGCACGACTGTTAGCACCGGTGATCTTCCCGTATTTGGGTGAGAGCGTGGCTATGTGCCAGTGTTATTGAGCGCATGCCTAGCCCAACATAAATATTTGCACGCACCTGGGGCTGTGACCGTACTTGTAATTTGCGACCCAAATAGTGGATGAAATACCAGCAGCTGGATTTACAACGCATTAAAAGTGCTACATCCTAGAACAATATTTCTGTGCACATCAAACACAGCCATGCGTTATAAAATATTGAGATACCCATGCAATGTATTACACTCAGCAAATGTAACGCTACTCAGAGTGACATACAGCAGCAGGAAAATTCTTTGGATTTAAGGGTTACAGCTTTAGCCAAGAACTTTATAACATGAATTTACTTTCTCAGAGGTGTTTTCTTGTAAAGCAAAAGTATACTATGCAGAGGCTACTTTTTCACGTAGCTGGAGGCGTTTTGTTAAAGGGTGGGTTTGCCTATTTCCCATGCACTACTCATTCTCATGTCTCGTTTAAACTGCTTAAACTTAAATAAACTCTACAGGGCAGTGCAGCATTCTGGGTAGAAAAATAATCAAATAGACCACCTTCTGTTCTGTATCGCCACATAAGAAACAAAGTATCTAATAGTCTATCAACTACTGTATTCTCCTTGTAGACTTAAAGCAGCATGTGTTCGAATGCCAGCAGAGAAAAACTTGTGCATAGTTTGAATGTTTAGGCAAATGCCACGACGAGAGTCTAGAAGGACAGTATCAAGAGCCGAATGGCTCACAGGCTTATTCCAAATAAATGAAACTGAAACTGAGTAGACTAAGGCCAATAATCTAAGACATACTTTACTTGTACATGGAAACACCAAGTGGTTACTTTTGAAATATACTGCATAAACATCCACTCTATAACAAAGTGTAGATTTTTATGGCTGGGCTACTAAAACTCTCTGATGTGTTTCCAAGTTGTACCGAGTGTCGTTCCTCAAGAAGCTCCCAGCATGTGGAGTGAAACGTCGGATATCATGACGCAATACAACGTGAGACTTATCCATTCTATAAACCTATCGACATCATAATCCTATTTTCAGGTATTAGCAATGAGCAGCGGCTGAGGAAAGTCGATTTAAAAACTACATAGCTGTTATGGACCCGAATGTTGTTGGTACCTAAAACAAGTTTTTCAGCGATAATCATCAAGGTAAGGCAGCAACATAATCTGCCAAAATGATAATCACTATATAACAGCACACAGCATTATACAAACCAACAATGTCTTAATGAGAAGGCAAGATTCCTGTCCACTGAAGCCAGTGACAAAGTGTTCCTCAGGTTGCTCTGTGGAAACAACAAATCTATTTCCTGCCTTTGGCCCAGTGACGACAGCCCAACCTCAAACCCAAAATGCTACACAGGAATGTGCTGGGATATCCGGTCAGGGGCACACATCTCAATGCCTTTGAAATCTCAGGGACGCAGGCAACTATGCGTACAATGAAAGGCCGTCAACATAACAAGTGATCAATAGAAACAAAAATGCTTAGTTTTTGGAGGGGCATTGCAAAGAGATTAGGGCCCCATATTTACCTGTCTTTCTTCTTGTGACCAAATGACAGACCAAAGATATATTATGAGACCTCCTTTGCCAGTAACAAGATATAGAAATAGGTTTAATGCCTTTTGGCATCTTCTGGTCCAACACCAGTGGAGACTAGGCTCTAAGAAAAGCCGTCTCGGGTGTGGACCAATCAAATTCAAAGACAGTGCATATTATTATCAGAGTTGTCTCTTTTGTTTGCGTTTTGACTGCTTGTGTTGTGGTTATTGCAAACATGATGCCTTGAATAAAGGTGTCAGTTTTTGTGCCAGTTAAAAGGGTAAAACCTATTTCTAGAACAAAGATATGTTTCCGCACAAAGAGGTCATGGAATCGAATCTACCCACAACTACATATTATTGCCAGCAGCACTATGTGCTTTCTCAAAAGAAATGAACAAATAATGACAAAAAAATTAAGACGTTTTACAAATATACACTGCACTTGAATTGACCTCAACTTGACACTCAAAGTGCCTCGCACTACTCAAGAGAAAGCCACATGAGACCCTGGTGGCCCATTGGGAGGTTGGCATGGCTGCTCTTGTACTTTTGGGAGATCGCAAATGCAGCGGGTGACCCTTATAAGTGCCGGGATCGGAAGAATATCTAACTACAGTATATATATAGTGCAGCATTCAAATGTAAGGCTCGCTTGAGATTGTGGCCAGCGATGCGTACGCAATGTAAGGCTCATATGTCAGAGCTGTAAATTTGTCAAGCGTTGGGAAATTACGGCTTGCCGGCCTCGACGTGAAGATATAAACTATGCTGATCGCCTCCCCACCACACAAAATAAGAATGTCAAGCCAAGGATGTGTAACTATAGTCCTATTTAATATGAAGTGCCACCATCTATTGTCTTGAATGAAACCAAATACCGATCAACTAAAGGTGGTCCTGAACATAGCTAAATAACCCTGGTTATGTCATTCGCTACCACACGATGGCACTGTTTACCAACTCAGCTCAACCTCATTTTCAGCATGGAAGAGTACGCGTAAATAGCCTCTAACAAGGCTCTCTAGACCTCTCTCTCGTGAGTCCTTTCCACCAGCAGTAGCGTGAGCAAGTACAGTAATTGCCGGGCTGCATTTTAAACCTTCACTCGTTTAGTGATTCAGACACATGCACAAGTCACATATTTCACCATTGTAAGCGGACAGTCAAACCCTGGGGATGGGAATCGTAGATTTCGTCAAGAAGCCTTATCGCATGGCCTAATATGACGCGCAATTTAAACTAAAACGAGCAAACGTAATACATACAACAGCATGTTCATGGCTGTATATAAAAAATAAACAAGTCGAAAACATTTGCCCGTGACTGGCTGCTGACCCCCTGCATAGAGCCTCATTGTTCAGTGCTCCGGGGACGCGGTGGTAGGTTTTCCCCTCTCTCTGGACAGAACGCAGTGTGATGCATAAGGAAAGATTTCAGATTTCCCTTGAAAATAACTAACCACCCAGCCACCCCGAGATACGATGGATTTTTTTCCCGTACGCCGAGTGACAGAGACCGCTCCCGTTACAAGAGCATTGCACAATGCTATGTTTGCAACAGCGATATTAACAGATTCACTACTTGGTACAGCTGGGAAAAAAAGGACGTTGGTGAAAAACAGAGCAAATGGTCACAGCGCCATCTTTTGACAGTAGGAAGGATTACACAGTGGGATTATTCTTCTTCTTCTTCATGCGTGTCACGAAACGTAATGAAAATTACAAAAAACTCTGCGACGATATTTTTTTTTCTGAAATGTCTAGGCGGTGAGAGAGAGAGAAAAAGATGACAACCGTGCTTTGCGTATTCTGAAGTAGCAGTCAAAGAAGACAAACAAACAAAAAGACCAAGCGGCGAGTACAATGACGGGCAAAAAAGGCAAGCTCCAGGGTTTGATGAGAGAAGTAAAGGAGGAAATGTTACAGATACCTTCTGGATTAAGGCGAGCAACAAATTCAGAGAAGACATACGTGGGTCTGTAGGGATTCTCCTCTACAAGACAGTGGGGGATGCAGAGGGATGGAGAGAAGGAAGAAACGCGGCCGACAACACAAAGGGATGTTGGAAATGGGACAGCAAAGCCAAACTAAAATATTGAGAAATAAAGCATCAGAGATCGCGCAGTGTCAATAATATGTTCATATGAAACAGGTAAAATGTGATGTAGGTCGTGGGTAAAGCGAAGACTAACTTTTTTGTTGCCAAAAGGTAAAACAAAATAAGTGAAATAAGTGCATTTTACCACTGGTTAGGGACTGACATTCCTACGCGATTCGATTTGGAAAGTTGAAATGAAAATTTCATATCTCTATAGGGTGAAAAGCTAGCCCTGGATATATACTTTCAAATGCACAGATATATAAAGATGATATTGCAATGCATGCTTTTTATTATTCTGAAGTAAAAAGCAAATTACACAACACCTTACAAAATATTCCCGTCTTAAATGTGAATTTGTTTTATAATTAATCATAACTTACCGAAACATGTTTAAAAGTATACTTGGAAAACTTTAGGGAATCCTTGGAATACATTATGCTTCACTATAAGATTAATAAACCATGGGATTATACTATGCAAGTGTGTCTACAGAGGACGGACAATAACTCGTGAATATGCACAAACAGGGAAGCAAACGGATGCTTATATGTATACACGAGAAAAGTAAATTGTTCTATGAGATACAGTAATGCGAAAGCAATATGTAAATAAAAAATATACATACTTACCCCAAAACTGTAATTTTAAAGTTAGTGGGTTCAGGTTAATGACATGGTTTTTGTTTGTGTTAGTGTCAATCAGTAGATCTCAAACTCTTCCAATTAGTGGCTCTGCATGGTATAACTTTTCATGATTGGTAGTCAACTAAGCCATGCAATATATAATTGTTTCGATTTAAAACTGTCGTGACTGCAGGGAGTCATATTCTTGGTTCTTTCAGTAAAGTCACGTTGAAGGGAAATAATAAAAATAAAGCATAATATAATAAAATTCTCATGACGTTTCGGCCACAACGCAAGCAGCCGTCCTCAAGTGAAGAAACAGAGCTGTCAGAAAGACAGCGTCTTAATGAACACAGTGTGTTCTCATTGAACAATGTGTGTTCATTAAGTGTTTCCATTGAACAGTGTATTCATTAAGACGCTGTCTTTCTGACAGCTGTTTCTTCACCTGAGGATGGCTGCTTGCATTATGGCCGAAACGTCGTGAGAATTTTATTCTATCATGTTTAATTTTTATTATTTTATTATTGCCCTTCTACGTGACTTTACTGAAAGAACCAAGAATATATAATTGTTAATTACCTATGTTTTCGTTTAAAAGATAAATGTTAGATATCTGATATGCACTAAATAACATAACATATTATGCCCATGCCCAAGAACAGTAATAATTTGGAAACTGTTCGTAAGGTTAAATTATATGCAGCCAATTTACATGTGCGAGTGTTTTATACTACTTGCATACATTTATACTCTTACAGGCAGACCAAAGAGCTCACCAATTCAAGTCTTCTCAGATCACTTAGGCATAGCTTGTGTTTGTCGTGACATATGCCACGTACTGTACATTAACATCTACACATTATGTCACGTGACAAAATGTTACTCAACACTTTGCAAAACCGCAGGCTTTGGTTAAAAATAAAATGCACCTTTAAAGACAAACGGACGCATTCACTAATATATAGTAACGTTATGCAAGAGGTCATTTCATTACAAAAATAATTCTGCAGGCTAAATATGCATTTTATGAAGATGGTACAGAATCATTTAATGGGTGCTTGTGACTTGGGCATAAAAACTTCAGTTTATTTTTTATAAGGCACAATGGCTTGCGTCAATAAGATCTGGATTATTAAGCATGCAATTACCTGTGGATCTGTCTGTATTAGTAAGCATTTAGTGGCAACACATGCAGAATGTGTTCACAGAAGATACTCAAAGCCCTGATATGCTTCTCCCCTTTAGCATTCCGAATGTTTGGACAATCTGTTGTCCACAGTTGGGAGTTATTCACATATGGTCTGATATGTGTAATTTCGTGAGATTTGTAGTTATTTGTTTAGTGCCTGGAATATCATTTGGGACACAATGAACTAGTCTTGTTATTATGAGCTGTTACCCAACTCTGTAGAAAAAGGCAAGATACCTGATACCAACATAACAAGCAGCACACACTATTACATTAGTGGTGACAACTCGCCACTATGATTGAGCAATGAGTATCTTGGCTCATGAATGAGCTACACATGGGCACAATATATTGAACTGTAGGCAGAACCAATGAAAAAAAAATAATCACCACAGTAATAAAAAAAATCTGAACTATTTAATAGGATTGCTTGTAACCACCATGGTTAGCAGCTTCATATGTTGTGATATCATTCTGTTTTACCAAATTACATGTATTTATTAATTCTGTATTTACCAGGATTTCATGGAGATGTACGCATACATTACTACACGTCGTGAATTTCACCTTTAACAAAAGAAAAACGATAAACGAGCGTTGCTAAGGGTGTAATGGCCGATTTAATGTTCAGTTGCAGACATGTGGCTCAGGGATAACGTGTTGGTCATGCGCAATCAAGTAGGCAGGGCATTTAAACCAACGACCCTGAGTCTCAGATGCATGCCTGGTGCATTGAAACCCAGCCTAGCATGGTGTTGGCAAACGAATGTAAGACAGCTGTAATTCAATAAAAGTATAAACAATATAAGCACTTTACATGTAAAATTTGACGAAGAATATTAATGTTAATTCTGAGCCAAAATTGCCTCTCCGTCAGTAAGATAAGACTGGTATAACGAGACTGATTCATCGTTCCCATTGCTTTTTTATTTAAATCGAGCATTTAAATACTGCCAAGAACCTGACAATTATTCACCTTGTTGTTTTATAATCCCATGATTGTTTTTTTCTTATCTCTTCACCTCACGTAGTAACAAAGGCATTATTCAAAAGTTCTGCGTACAGTTTAACTTGCGAAATTTGCCCAGTGGAACACTGAGCCGGGTCAGGGTTAGTCTTCAAGGGTCCCCGGGCTGCTACTGCACACCAGCCCAATGCTGCTGTAGTACCTGGGTCAGGAGGCTTTTCTGTGCCCTCTGGAAAAATGTATGTGGGTTTGTATGCATTTACTTCTGCAGACATGGACGACAGCGGGTAAAGCAGTGAGGGGGGTATTGAGTGCAGTTTGGTTGGGGTGGAGGGATAGTGGAGGGTGGGAGGGAGGGAAGGGTGGGAGCGAAAATGAATAAGCAAACAGGTCGGTGGGAGTGCAGGACACGCGGGGAAGTAAGGCAGAAACGTGGGCACGAGAATGAAAAAAAGCACACTGGACGTGCCACTACAAACATATGCCAGGACATTAACCACGAGCTATGAACAGCAATAATTGTTACGCCTCATACATCGTGGATATGTTTTTATTTATTTAATAGTTTATGCAAAGTCGGAGTGTGCATGGACCAGCCAAATCATGTCACATACAACATTTTATTTAGTATAAGATCCACAACTTTACGATTTATTGTTGTGGGGTAAAAGTTCATTACGTGTGATGATAGAATGTGCTGATTAACAAGAGAAAAGGTAGCCTGTTTACATTAATAGAATAATGCACTATAGCCCAGTCAGGCACACATGCACCTGAAGAAAGAGATCTGAAACTGCCATGGAAATATTTTTTATTTGCAATCAAATTATTTGTTATTCATGATGTCAATTAGATATTACATGATCATAACATGGTGAGCACGTATGAATGAATAACAATACTTGACTTTATGAAGTGTAATCATGAGAATGTATAATTTCCATTATTGGCATGTGTTCAGCCAAACCTCAGTGTCGATCACAGTATCATATTTATTTAGGCAATTAAAACTTGCTTATGAAAATAAAGTACAATCCAACTGCATGAAATTATCTTACATTGCGTAAATGTATTTATACATGCCAAACCACCACCCAATGCAAAACAAACCAGATTCAATTCCTTTAAGATATGGACCATTAGCTGCAACCAAAAAGGGCCAGATGGCTTCACACAGGATGGCTGCCAGTACCTTGACAGTGACTGTGTTGGGCCCTCTCTTCAGGGAAGCGATAGGTAGGCAGGTAGGGATTGCAGTCGGAAGGTTCTGCCAGAAAAGCAGAAGCAGGACAGCGGGGAGAGGGGACGGGGAAAATAAAAGAGAGGGCATGAAGAGGACAAGGAAAGGGCAGGGAAAACACCGAGGAAAGGTAGGAGAAATGCTTGGAGAGGGCTGAAAAAACTATGGAAAAGGTCAAGGAAATATCCATTCAATAGCAAGGAAAGGTTTGGGAAAGGTGAGTGAAATGGCTACAAAGGGGAACCAAATGGCTTTACATAAGCCCAGTATGCAGCATGTGACCTAGGAAACAGTTTGACACATAATTAAAACTAGGTACATATTATACAGGGACAAAATGTAGTACAGTATCTCTGCAGGGCTTTCAAAAGTAATATAGAGGTGATTCAAGACAATGACAGAAAAAAATTCAAATCACGGATAGTTGTAAAAAAGCAAAAGCTAATTACCCTCTACTTGAGAATGTTTTCATGGTGGAAGTGTAGTATGTTAAGTACACTACATCTTGCCGTTCTAAATTTTAACCGAAGAAAAAAATTGTAACGGTCACTCACTGAACGGCATGGGCATATGATGAGTGCATTGAAAGTTATTTTGGTTTGCAGGCAACTCAGCTTTAAGAGGAAGGAGAATTGAACGGAGCTGATGGAATGCTGCTCAGATAAATGAGTGTGTATAAGAAAGCCAGAATTACACGCAGATAATTCATGTAACTCAATAAAAAAGTGAACTAAAATCATAACAAAAGTATCTTAAGGTGCATTATTTGGACTATGAAATTCCAACACTCCAATATACATTAAGTAGTAATTACTTCCTATGTAGTTTTATCTTTGTTTATTAACTTCATTGCCACAACTAACACACCTGCAGGTCAAAAAGAAATGTCGAGCCTGGATATATTTTTAAAACTTAGATTTCACTGGCACAGATGTCATCAAAAGATGCAAAGTCTCAATGTGAGTTAGACCTCCGTACGAGATGTTACAGCTGTAACATGGGAAAGTTAGCAACGGTTTGAATTTGAAACGTATCTTGTTAAAACCATTATGTATTATCTCCCGTCAATGAATATGCTGAAGAGTACATGATATTTAGTACAACAGCCATCTTGACTATTCTTAATTTATGATTATATCAGCATGACATCAGTAGTCAACATTGTGCAGTACTGTAAAAGGTAAAGGTGTAGCCCTGCAACTGCTTGCCCTTGACACTGCTGGAGGAAAAGCCTCCACTAGAAAGAGCGACAGTCTCTCTAGAGGATATTTAACCTACTCTTCCACACTGTACAGGTATCTCAGAATAGTTGGGAGTACTCACACTTAACCCACCACACACAACCTGCTGATCGACTAACTGAGACGTATACATTTATGCTGCGAGGTGGACAGATATTTAAGAAACTTTTCCATTGTTTCAAAAGCCACGCAATGGAGATTTAACTGGTGACCTCTGGATTGCAAGTTCAGTGCGCTAACCATTGCACCAAGGCACATCAAGTTAAGAATTGAGATTGTGTATATAACACTTACCTTTGTTCACCTTGTGGATCTGATTGAACATAGTTTTGTACCAGTCCTTTGGCCGGTCTGTGCTCTGCAAGGACAACATTTAGCAGTGCAAAAGGGCACGTCAGTAGAATACTTTATTGATTAATTTATTCTCCAACAAAATGATACATCCAAGTAATGTAAATAATGAAAGGTGTACAGCACAACCGAGAAAACAATACGTTGTTAACAGCACTGGCAATGATAATGCGATCTGTAATGGTGCGCAAGTGTGTACAAACAACGTAACCAGAAACATGCAAGCCGATACAGAATAAGCAAGCAATGATGACAACGATGCCATCAAAAAATACCACACACATGCGTGTAAACGTAAGCAGAAGCGCTCCCTTGATGGCGAACGGATAAGCCAGCGAATACTCAAGCAACGGTCACGACGCCGCCGCCGCCGCTAACTTGAATAGAAACACGTTCGCAGGCCAACGATCGAACCGGCGTCGTGCATGCCCACGGCCACCACCACCACGGCCCTCACAGTGAGAGGAATGCCGGCCTCGTCCACGGCGCCAATGCCGGGGAAGTCCGGCGGCCGGATGACGCGCACCGAGGGCCGGCCGTCGGCCGCCCAGCGCTGCCCGTCCACGTAGCCCTCGTAGGCACGGCGGTCGTGCGGGTGCTCGCCCGCCCGTTCTCCCGTCTGACCCGCTGCGTCCGGCGCGGGTGAAGGCGTGGGAGCAGGGGAGGACGCGTCTGCGTCGGAAAAAATGCGCGAGCTTCCATCAACACAGGCCGCCCACCGCGGGGAGACTCGGACACATGCCGCGCGCAGCACTCAACACCCCGAAGCAAGGTGTCTCCGAACGGTGCAGCTGTGCGCACAAGCTAAGTTAACTTTGACTCGTCACACGCCGCTGGCACGTTTTACTCCGGAACTTTCGGTCACAGAGACTAAGTATATTTGAAAACAGAACGCCTCAGATCTGTGCTGATGCGATGAGCCAATATTGCAGATCCTATAGCCACGATTTTGCTCCACTTATCCACCAGGGGGGAAAAAATGCGGATAATCGTGGACGATATGAAGAATAAGGTTACGTAAATAGGAGTATTTTGTGGGCCCTATAACTCCCATGCATAATGGGAGTCGAGGTAAGAGGTGCGCAGATATTAAGAGATGTTGTACACTAGTTGAGCTGACACTAAATGAGGCAACGAGTGTGGAATATTTGCTGTGCGGCTCAATTTGGTGGTCGAACCATGAAAAATTGTAAGTTTGCTATTTGCATGCCTGTCAACCCATACGGTTTACCCATATTCTTGTGCAGGGAAATTAAGTTTTCAGGTCCGTACGGTGCACAGCCGTTGCATTACGGGCAACAACATTTTTTTCTCTATTTGTTTGTGTTTCTCCCTTGTGATGGGACTTTGTAGGAAGAACGTTGACAATTATAAGGGCACGGGGTGACCAATAAGGTCTGAATTAATCTGTAATAAGGTAAGCACTGGAAAGGAATTGACAGGTAAAACCTTGGATTGCGAGTAACTTGGTCTGCGAGTGTTTTGCAAGACGAGCAAAATTTTTAAATAAATATTAATTTGATAAACGAGCGAGGTCTTGCAATACGAGCAGTAGTACGTATACGCTTTGTCTGCCGAGCGTCACGTGACCACAAATGATATACGAGTGCTTTGATATACGAGTGCTTTGGATTACAAACACGTTTCCGGAACGAATTACGCTCACAATCCAAGGTTTTACTGTATTTGAATAATATTAAAAAATACACTAAAAGTAAATAGGACACTTGAGTTAATAGGCAGATTTAAAACTGTGACATGGAAATATGCGATATGGAAAAGGCCTCGGGCCTCATACGATGTACGGCATTATATACCTGCCACAACAACCAGTGTAAGCGGTTGGATCCCAATTTCGAATCCTCTTACTGCATACGACGTATTTTGTAGCTGTGCAGATTTGTATAATTTTAAAAGTAGAAGCTGAGGGATTTTTATTCTCAAAATTTGTATCCAGTAAACGGGCGTTCGAAAACAGGCAGACGACTGACTAAATTGGCAGAGTTGGCAAATATGAAGTGAGTGCGCATGATTTATATAGAGGATAACCACGAAACAAAAGGAGCCAAATCCCCACTGGGCGTCATTGGCCTTGGAAACATGTGCTGAAATGAATCAGTTAACTCTGATCTGTTACTTTCTTAGTTAATGCTTGTAACTACTCTGTATATACTTGTGTTTCAATTTAATGTATTAATATCTACACCGTCGATGTAACAGATAATAGGCAAGCTACTTGCAAGAGTTACACAACAGAAACCCATCCCTTTTCTGAAATGTTAAAACCGTACAAGCTTTTACGTAACTCTGTTATATAGATGTTTTGTAATAGTAAATATGCACGAGCAGGCCTTCATCCAGCAATGGATGGCTGATAATTAAAATGAATTACATTAGAATATTAATTTTCAAATGTGTCTCATGAATTTGCTTTTAAAGTATCTCGTTTTTGGAGAAAAAAAAATGCATTTAACGCTATTTATTTACATAACACGAGGAAAATGCAACAACAACCACAAGCTGAAATGAAGAACACATTAGTTGTCATACAAAATATATGTGAAAACGCATTTCAGTCACCACACAACTTGGATTGATCACCATACATCTTTTAAGACAAATGTTCTCTTTGGAGACATCCAGCTTTTGAGCGAGAGTATGTGACCAAACCATGTGCTCACACGGCAAGAAGGAGCGCAGTGCCATGATGAAAGAAAAGGGACAGATCCAGTAGCAGCTCCTGGCTCCAGGTCGAGGAGAAAACAACAAAGTCCACCTCGGGTTTTTCTTGTCACGTGCAGGTGGACTAATTGATGATTGGAACATCGGGGCAGATTGTGGTGATAAAGCACCAGCACTGAGCTCCTGGGAAAATACCATGGGCTGCACGCACCCGTCTGGTGGAGAAAGTGGCGGTGAAGCCACTGCCAACGCATTTCACTTTCACTTTGAATCCCACCTGCACACACGTTATAAGCTGACATTGGAGAACCCTCGGCAGATGTTGTTGCTTTTTCTCAACCGCGAGCCACGGAACACCACTAACCGTGGGATGCTTTGGTACCGCTTAGTCAAGCAATCCCTCTCCACCCAACTATCTCATGTTCAAAGAGAACAATGAAAGGGCACATTTCTCAAGGCTAAAAGATCTTGCATAACACTGATGTCCTTTTGGCATCTCTAAAAATAGGTGTGGCTTTCCTGGCGCAAGTAGAATGAGGCAGGCATACCGCATTACTGCGTCATTCCAAAATACCACTATACCTGTCTGTTGAACACAGCTTCTGAGTGCATCTAAAGGCACCTCAAAGTGGAACATTTGAGCTACTGTTTTTTTATATATTTGAGTGGGGAGACGGTGTACCTGCGCCTGGTAAGAGATGCAGCCGTAATGATGTTTCTAAGCCTCAACTTGAAGGCCGATGGAGTGCAATATCATCATCACTAATCTACTTTACAAAAGAACAATCGCCAGATGTAATGTACCAAATATATGAAGCATTCAGAATGCTAAACATCCCAAGCATTAACATTACATGAACTTATATAATGAAAAAAACTACTTAGTATGGATTTTAAATTATGTTACATTCATTTATACAGTTTCTGAAATCTAACTGCAAAATGACAAAATGAGAAATGAAGTATTCCAATTTAACTGAACAATCATTTGTTTGAAAGAAACTAACATGGCATTCAGCGATTCCGTCATTAAACTGGCATTATACACGTGTGCAGGTCAAGTGGCTAAAGGTGCACAACACTCTGAAAGCAACCCTTTGTGAAGCTGCACAGCAAGCATGCGGGAAACTGCAGGGTTAAGGAATAAGACTGGAACTCTCCTGGGAACAAATGACCCCGTGGATAGATAGAAACCACCATAACAGGTCTCCCAGGCCACACAGTAAGGTTGTCACCTTTGAGGTACAAAATAACCAGGACATATCATTGACTAAAAAAAGAAATGGGAATTGTAATTACTGATTTACCAGGACAGCTACCGGTTTACTTTGTTGCCCTTCCCCCGCACCTCCGATTAGCACGGTTGGCTACATATGGTGCGAAAGAAGCTCAACATACATACATAAGACAATTTGGATTTTCCTGGGGATACCAGTAGAGGTGGCAACCCTACAACACAGTTTAGCTGTGGCACGCACACACATTAATTGACTTCGACTAAAATTTGATTAAGAACCATAAGTGGTACAAACATTAAACCCAAATCCCCATGATAACTTAGCTTCACAATTAACGTATATGCCTGTGGATTCTGGGAGGCCTGATCCAGGTCAGGGATTTCACACAGGAGCGATAGCCCCTTTGCCAAGGGATGGCCTTACCAGCCTGGGCCTACCTGACAGCCTACTCAGCCGTTTTTGCTGCTCTGGGCGTGAAAGCAAGGTTCAAGAGTGAAACACAAAACGCACGGGGAACAAAACAACGTTGTTAGTCGAGATACAACAGGCAAGCATAACAACAGTTAATTCAATGTGGTACATTGCCACGTACAAATAAATGTTATGAGAAAATACATTGAGAAAATACTGTAAACTAATGCAATTGAAAATTAGCTTTAGTGCCAAATATTGACTTGGTTTTTTTTAGCATGCATTAAATAGAGTAATATACTGCACCAACGTTCACAAAAATCAATGCGTTTTTCATGAACTGTGAAGCCATGCAAGTCTTTTATTTTCTTTGAACCTATCTACGTGACTTTACCAAAAAAATCCAAATAATATCATTTAACACCGTTTATACTGTTTTTGAAAATATTATTATAATGAAATATATTTGCTGATTAAACAACTATCGTACATGGTCACATTTTATCTTTAAACCTGCTTATTATTGATTGTAACCGATTGCATTAACTGTATACACCTCTGCTATGTGTGAATGTCCGAGGAACACAGTACCAAAAGCGAAATTTACTGCCACATTACTTCATTCTTATGCAGTGTCTTGACCAATGCACTATCTGTGCCAACTGTGATGGCACATGGCCTTAAGAGTAACTGCATGTCAGACGTTCATCCTAGCAATACATGTATACGAATACCAAAACCCACGACAGATGGTTTATTTTAAACTAGGGTTTGGGTTTCACTCCACTAGATGGTATATAAAGTTGCTTTGTGCAGTATCCAGTCCTTCTCTTGTATTGCTGTATATTGAAGTCATTCAGCGGTGAATTGATGAAATGGGCTATACACTAAATGTACATTGACCCTACATGAAGCGTAATTCTACGCAGTCCTTTATGTACAGAGTTTGCGCTCAACAATGAGGCCCAATGATGTACGGTCCACGACCACAAATCACATTATTTACTTATATCATTAAGAGTCAGGGGAACAGATTTTGTAAAGAACCACATGCACATATATATTGCATATGTAAAACTAAATTATTCAAATATTATCTAATCTATGCAGCCACTTTGACAGAATAAAATATCTTGCTATTTCTAAGAGGGTGTTGTGTAGAAACATGAGTCGCAAAATAAATACCAAAAGGTATGTGCCCAAGTCTCAAAAATGTGTATAGTCTGGAGTAGTTTTAATATTAGGGGACAACGTTGCTATGCGGTTTTACCCAATTAGGTAATTTGCAAATAATTTGAACATTTAGACCGTGACGCTGGCACACTTCCCCCCCCCCCCCCCCCCCCGTTAACTCCTTGCATGCCTTTAATGCATCGCAAAAAAAGTGTCAAGCAAATTCAACAAACGTCGGCATTCCTCCACATCCAGGCACCCCCCCCCTATCCCCCCCGCGAGGCCATTCCCGCGGCCCATCCCTCCCATCGCACCTCCCATCAGGCGATTGTGCTGCAGCAGCACGATGGTGGGGTTGACGGCCATGGTGGACGGGTAGGCAGAAGCGCGGCCCGTCGGCGAGAAGGAGCGCTGCGAGTCGCTGTCGGAGCCTGGCCGAGGCCCTGTGGGGAGCGTGCCGGTCGGGCCGCCGTCCGTAGCGGAGGCCCCATGGGGTCCCGAGGCCGATCCCACGCCGCCGTTGACGATGGTCTGCCGAGGCAACCGACGAGGCACAGGTGCACTTTAAAACGCTTTAAATCGCCCCGCTCTGGTGGACACCGCCAAATATGTTGAGCGCAGTTGCGCGCGGGTAGGACAGCGGTTGAGTCTCGCTTCCAATTACGAGGTCTGGATTGGTGCTAACGTCAAACTCTTTGACGTGTTCTTGGGTTCTTGTGCTCGTGTGTTGTACGGCACACGGTAGAACCCAGAAAATATGTCAGAGTTACCAAAGCACAAGCGTAAAAATCCAAGCATTGGCGGTTAACTAATTTTCTGAAACCTTTGAGAGGAATAAAAGTACATTGAGCGATTCAATTTCATCCTATAATAAATTGACTTATTTGAATTATATACTGTATATGCCTCATGCGGTGACTAGTACAGTTTAATGTGAGGTAGTGTTCTGCAAACAGAAATGAAGAAAGCTTGAAAATGGTAATGCCATGCAGAAATAAGTACTTAATTTGCTTAATTTTTACAATTTTTACTCATTTAAGAATGAAATATCTTTATGCAAAACAGCCACATTACTGACGGACCTATGAAAAGTCCCATGCAGGGAAAAAAAGACGTGAACATAAATATTCACAAGGATGTAAATCACAACAATAGCACTCGAAGGTAGATATTAATACTTTGCCAAATGTGAAAGATGTCACAGGCCCTTTGATATGAATGACTGGTGCCGTGCACAAATGGCTCTAATATTACCATAATGCCATTAATGATGCTATGCGGGATGGATTTTAATTACAATATATTACCAGCAATGCTGCTTGATGCCACATCTGCATCCGCATTTTAATTTGCATTGCTTGGCTTTAAAAAAGTTCTATCCTTTAGTGAGCGCTATGACTCACATCTGTATTGCGAATTCACAAGCTAGATCATTTGATTGGATTAAAATATCACGTGACGAAATCAAATAATGGCCACAAGTAGATTTTGCATATATTTAAATATTTGTGAATAACTTTCAGTCACAAAAGAAAAGCTCGGTAAACTTTCTTTTCCTGTATATAACGAACTCAACACTGCAAGTATCACATTGATCGAGCCTGCCAGTATCGTGCAAGAGTTACAATCTGATCACCGTAACTACCTCTCGGCAGCATTAGATCATCATCACAGAACACTCCAGTCAGGTAGCAAAGCTGCTACCGTTGACAAAACGTCAATCATACGCAATTGCTATGAAAATGCAAGTGCTTGCAGCTATTGTGCGCTTTAAATGGCTGAGTTTTTCCATGACTCTTCGCAAGGCACAGATTTCATTCATTATTTTGCCACTACCTTGAGTGATCATTCTTGCGAATGTGACAACTTAAATAGGGGAACGTAACTTTATTGTCCACCATTCGCAAAGATGTGACTGACGAGGACATGCACATGGCATTTAAATTAGAACATACTCAAATCCCAGAAATAAATGAGAAAATACAATATTTCAAACATAAAAGCAATACTGCAGTGGACTCAGGAAAATAATACATCAAGCATATACAAACGCATAAACGGAATGTCTTTCAGGAGAAAAAAGGAAAATAGTTTCCAAATAATGCACATTCAAAGGGAAATGTGGAGATCATGAATCAGACATGCCAGCCTCAAAGCTGCTTAAACATGCATCCTATCTTTTTTCAAGCGGTGTTTTAGAAAATAAAGTAGTTCCGTAAACTTTTCATAATTACATCCGAAGATGTTGTGAGCAACTCTTCACATTCGTCTGGGGTTGTTGCCTGGCCGATGTCTGGTCTGCTGGAGGCTTGATCGTCTTGCGCAGTCTTGCAGGACTGGCTTTGTTCCGCAAGGACGTCATCCCGCTCCATGGCTCGTGGCTGACAGCGAGCGGGGTGCATCTCCAACTCAAGTGACTCTGCAGATGAATGTTCTGGCTTTCCGTCTCTTGGCAAATGAACGGGGATGAAGTAATTGAGGTTCGGAACATTCAAATCTTGTGGCTGAAGGTCAGACATGTTTTCCGTGATGGGCAGCGCTGGTGGAGGATTACCAGCTGACTCCATTTCCTCAGATGCTGTGTGCTCTGAGCTATAGGTTTGCTCAAAAGCGCTGCCTGGGTCATGTGTGGCATCTGTGCTCAGGCAGGATCCATCTTCAGGCTGCGGAACCCATTAAAAAGGATAAACACAGCTCCTGCAAGTTAGCATGCCTGCAATGGGTTAGAGCAATCTGGGTCTTATTATCACAAGTACTTCGTCTATTGTAAATATTAGGAAAGTATACTGACAGTCTTCACCAAATAGCAGCACAGTACTTTAGCAAATGAAGCAATGCATATTTGTGATGGTTCATATCATGAAGGAACAAGAACATTTAATCATCCACATTTTTTTCTTTTAAATGTCCTTTATAAGTCCAGTATTACTACTGTATCTTCAATTTGTGATTTCTTAATGAACAGTGCTGTTCTTTACAAATTATGTTGCATTAAACATGCATGGGGAATCTTTTAAAATAATATTACTCTATACTCCACTTACTGTCGTGTGTTCCGACTCCCGAATTAACATTCCAAACTCTCTTGGTGGTGGAAATTCCACAAATTAGCATTCCACTTTCCCTCATGCATTTCCTATAACACAATCTTCAATAATGCTGCCTTACAAGGGAAGGTATATAATAGGTGACGATTCAGGCAATATCCCTCTTTCATAACACATACATATCGAGGCCAGACCTCTCAGAACACACATATCTGTTTTTAACATCACAACTAGAATGTAAAATATAACTCAAGCCCTAAAACACATTTAATTGTGTACATGCCAGGTGTGTTGAGCAGTGTTATCCTATTTCCATACAAATGTGAACTTAAATGCATATACAGTATCCTTGAGTTATGGAATTGCAAAACATCCCCAAATGTCCCTGCATGGATGCGTGCGACTTTATACAGAAATGTACAAAAATGTATTTTCAAATTGAAAACAAGATCTTTAACATTTAAAATTGAGTAAACAGAGCGATATTTCACTGGCAGAGACACACATTGCTGGCGTTCCATCCCAGTTTTAAAGCATTGCCTCACTGACATTCCGTTGAAATTACAAATGTTTGGTACATTTGTTTCGTTAAAGTATGCAATTTATTATTTGGTGTTGGATGACTCCAAATTCCACCCCCTTTTCAAAGTTGGGTGTCGGGTTTGTGAGCGAGAGCGAAAGCAAAGCGGACTCTTGATTTCAACAACAGAGCTCGAAAAAAACCCTGAATCAGACAGATAAGAGCCACCCCCATTGTGAAAGTGAAGTGCAACCTGTTCATCACATGACCGACCACGTGCTTATACAGAAGCTGCGAAATCCTCTCTGTAATGCAAATTCCGATACTTTCGAATCGATTACCAAACTCAACGTAAAGTAGAAATAATATTTAGCATCTTTTTATCAATTTCCATACGAAATTAAAAGAGTGCATCTTAAGTACAAGGTACAACAGGCTAAATGTCGTGACATCTACATCACCTCTTATAAACAGCCACCACTCTCTCTTTCACCTTGAATAAGTCTTTATATAATGCAATTTATTTTTTGTACAATTTGGGGCATTCAATTATTAAGAAAAAACAGGTTTACCTATCCATCTACATCACTGCTGTTGATAGTTTGGCAATCACATTAATCTGAGCGATGCATGCATTGAACAAAGTGAAATAAGTTTCCACTTTGTTCATAGTTCCATAGTTCCATTTATTTGGTATAGCCCTGTGAGCCATTCGGCTCTTGAATCTGGTGCAACCGCAACAAACAAAAAAACTAAAACATGAACAAGAAAACATCTTAAAGTGACTGTGACTGTGCAAACAGAAAATCCAGGAAAAAAACAGTTTATCATTTTCACACTAACAATGCCCTGTATTCTTTGGGTCTTTCGGTAAAGTCACTTAGATAGGTTCTTTGAACCTATCGCAACTGATCTATGTGACTTTACGTAGATAGGTTCTTGACTTTACCGAAAGACCCAAAGAATATGAATTCCTGCAGTCATGAAAGCTTTAAGCCAAGATTTAACAATGCACTGCTTTACAAGTAGTGTACAGTATTCCGGAATTAACAGTAACTAGAATGTTGTGATTTATGGCCTCGTGTTGTTCGGTACACATTGATTTTATCTTACAATACTTCAACATCCCACTAAGATTAAGCATGCTTTACCGAGCACCGTTCATTTGCACACTTTGTTTTTAAGACTTCAATGCGTGAGAGGAACAAGCTGCATTCAAAACAAAAAGACCGTGCACAAGCGGCTAAGATCCAGTGGCTCTTCGGGAGACCTCGTCCTTTAATTGCTTCCTATTGGCTTAATTAGTGGTCCTTTCCTTCCACTGAGATTTCCTGTTTATCCTACTTGTATCCCAGGGAGTATCTCATTAAAGATCGCACTCATCGCAACTGATTATCCTAAATGCCATAATACAATGGAGGAATGCAGATCCAATCACAGCCGCAAAGCATAAACAAAATCCAACAGCATTGACACGTATAGTTTCTTTTGAAGAAAAAAAAATGTAGTTACAAGACTTCACCATTTAGTTGAAAACGTTTTCGTAGATAATTATCTAAGCAATTATTGATCTTTCTATGCAAGTTTCAGAGTTCAAATGTTCCCCTTGCATTACTCCAAATACAAAAGCGAATGTGAAATGTTGTTGTGAAACTATTTTTCAATTTCAACTGTAAAAAATTCATCGGGCCTGAAATGGTGTAGCTGTGTATCCGAAACCAAAAACAGAGTGCGAAAGAAAAGGCACTGGTATTTGTTTAAAACAAAACATGTTTCATCGGTGATATTCGTACATAATGTCAAAAGGTTTCCACTGACAGATCCACCTCTGTTTGGAATAGCTCAGGTTTAATTTGGCACACCTGCGGTTGGACATATTTTCCGACTTACCACGTACATGGCAGATGTGCCGTGTTTCATATGACAATCATAAATACCGTGTATGGTACAAGGGAACACAAAATAGACATGTACAAATACTTACGTGTGCTCACGTAAACACCCATTCTCAATTATAAATACTGAGAACCATATATGTCTTTGCAACAAATGAGCTTTTCTTCGTAAAAAAAAAGCAAATCCACCCTCGCACAATATTGTAGATGCACATCCCTCGTGTCAATCCGCCGCTTTGATGAGCGCTTCTCCATGCCTTCCAGGCCACTAGAGAGGTAAATTAACGGGACTTCACCATGTCGGTCAAGCAATGTTAAGGCGTGCGGGGGGCCCTCTGTACCTGCGTGTGTTTTTTCTCGGTCGTGACGAGGCTGGGTTTCACACTGCGGAATCCCTTGGCCACCAGTGGTGATGAAGATGCGTCTCCATTGACGGGGCCGATGTCAGCATTCCCACTCGGTGGGGATGATGCAGACTCAGATACTGTGTGCACATACACATACGCAAACTCCGATCATCCTCGAAGCGGCTTTTGGCTTCTCCATCGAACCAAGACGGTCACCGCATTGCACGCTTTCAGATGCCCTTTCGCGGCCGTCTGGAATGCTCTTCTTTTCAATATTAGGAACCTGATGGAGCAATGCACGTTTAACTCTAGATCGAAAACTAATTTCTTTAGAACAAATTTTGATTTAAAGCTTTCGTGACTGCAGTAATTCATATTCTTAGCTCTTTCGGTAAAGTCACGTTGAAGGGAAACAATAAATGACGACCGTTTGTGTTATGGTCGAAACGTCGTGAGAATTTTTATTGTTTTATATATATTTTATTATTTTATTGTTTCCCTTCAACGTGACTAAGAATATTCTTTAGAACAGTTTTTTTGTGGTTAGTGTGTTGTCCTTCCCCCGCACCTCCGGTTAGCGCGGTTGGTTACATACGGTGCGAAAGAAGTTCAACATACACACATAAAGATAAAGTTCCCCCGATACAGACGTGAAGACAAGTGCTGTCAACGAGGACTATTAAGGAATGAAGAGCTTACGGGGGAGGCACAGTCAGCACCACACCCAGCCAGCCACCTTTGCATCCCAAACCCTGGAGATTCATTTAAGTGTGAATCGACCTCGGGGAGGTCCAGGACGAGTTCTGATGATCGTCATGTCTGGGAAATGTACTTGGATGGCTGGCTCTGTAGCACAGTGTGCAAAATCCACTGCAACGCCGCTTTCCACAGTGCACGCATGTACAACAACAACAACCGCCAATCGCCACTAAGTGGCGGTGACGTCACCACGACGCTTGTGCCAGGCCGTGTACACATACATATACACACAACTGTTGGAGCCAGTGCTATGAGTGAGTCCCTTTACAGGGACATGACAGCACAAGGTGGGCGATGAAGCCAGCCTGACCACAATTTCTATTCTCTGCGCTAACGATAACGTATTGTACCAAGTAACCATAACATACAGTGGCAACTGGTGTTTGAACCTAGCCTTGGGCCAGGTTCAAACACCAGTTGCCATTGATGTACAAGCCAAGAGATGACAACCCGAGCCACTGGAATCAGTGTGGTGTGCTAACTACACTACCTTGATACACACCGCATACGTGTCACCCAATAGCGGAGCCAGGATTTTCAGGTAGGGGGGGCAACCCCTCCAGCAATGGAAAATGATAGAGGAGTTGTTAGTAGGTAAGGACTTGTCCCTTGCTTTTTATTCGACGCGTGTGCGGCGATGGCACAGCCATCGATCGAGGGTCGAATTCGAACCGCGTTGTGTGATCGGCATCGCGCTCGCTGAAGGTGTTGATGCCTTCAGGGAAGTCGTGGACTGTATACGCAACTGCGCACAATTCTGAGTCACTTAAAACTGCTTTGCCGTTACTTATTGCCAAGTATGGACACAGACTATTGTCCTATCATCTCATAGAGTCCCTGGCACGTAATAATATGCTACACAGTGGCAATGGGGGTCGCAAAATGCCGATTTATTACTAATAAACCCCAATGATCCGATCGAAATTAGGGATTTCGATCGGATTATTGGGGGGGGGGGGGCACGTGTCACTCCCCCTCCCCACTGGCTCCGCCAGTGGTATCACCTCCTGAACCTTCCAGCAAATATTTATATTTTCGTAAATGTTTATAAGCATAGACAGTTTTGGATCACTCATTGTATATGTGGATCCCCACACAAAATACTACATTCCACAGCAAACATCCCACCTGTGCATGTGGCTAATGTGCAGGCACAGGTGTGGGACATCTACTTTGGAATGTTCTATTCCGTTTAGGGGTAAGATGCACGGCATCTCCCCTGCGGGCTGAGCGAAGGAGAGCACTGATGGTGGAGGCCACGGTACATTTGCTACAGTACTGCCGCAATGGAAACAAGGGGTGACGCTCACGAACACATTGTAAAACACCACAGTTGGAAGTGAATCATAAAATGTTTGGAAATATGTAAACGGGCACAAGTATTTACTGCTGCAAGCAATGATGCATCCAAATGCAGTTTCATGTTGAAGTGGGTATTGTACTCTTTAGGAAAAAATGTCCACTGCCAAGGATTAAAGTCTGTCAAGGGATGGTTTAAATGCTTAAGGGATAAGCGGTAGTGGTGGTGAATGTAATGTGTTTATTACCTTCATGTTCTATATGAGCATCTGCACCTGCTGTGAATATACAAACACATTTTGATGTTTAGTTACACTTAAAAACAAGAGACGAATTCATCTTGAAAATATAAATTGTTTTATTTTGATTTAAAGCTTTCATGACTGCAGTAATTCATATTCTTAGCTCTTTCGGTAAAGTCACGTTGAAGGGAAACAATAAAATAATAAAATATATATAAAACAATACAAATTCTCACGACGTTTCGACCATAACACAAACGGTCATCATCAGGTGTGAAAACCAACGGCAAGAAACATTTGAAAGAAGCGGTGGTTTCGCATTTATTTATTTATTTTTAAGCGGTGTTTGAATTTATTTAAAAAAACGTTAGCACCACGGGCAGCGATTTGGCAGTTTGTTTAGAAGGACGAGTCCATCTATGTTCTGAAAAGAGGAGGGGGGAGACGAAAAATTAATGTATGCTGTCTGAAAGCCACCGTAAGTGTGAACAATCAATTAAGACCTGAAATGGTTTATCAAATCCTTACAATGATTGCTAAGCCAGAATCCATCTTCTCGGTTGAAATTGTCTGTGCTTGTATATGTGGATAGCCTCATGAACGAATCTCTCATGGTAGCCAGATGGCTTACAAAGAACCTCTGTCTTGGAGAAGTCAATGTCATGTGAGCCTACTGAATTATAACAATGATCTGCCACGGCCGAGGTGTTGGTCCTACCGTGTTTAAGGTCTGCTTTGTGTTCACGGATGCGGTCCGAGACATGGCGTATGGTTTCTCCAATGTAACTACTACCACAGAGGCAACTTAGTTTGTAGACACCAGGGTACTGTATGTCCGGAATCACATCTTTTACAGACGGAACCAGATCACGGATTTTATTTAATGTGTTGAAACGGACCTGGATCTTGTGTTTATTCAAGATTTTGGAGATCTTTTTGTGATATCCGCAATGTAGGGTAAAGAGATGGTTTTGAAAGGCTCCTCAAGCAGGTCCTTCTTCATGGTTTGAGTGATAGCTTTGCGGATTGTATAGTCGGAGTAACCATTAGCCTTAAGAGCTTGGTGTACGTGCTTGAGTTCACTGCCTATGTGTTCCTGGTCGGATATGCATTGGGCTCTATGGTATAGAGTCTTGATGAGAGAATTCTTCTGTGATGGATGGTTGTGGGAATCCGGTTTCAGATAAGCATCCGTATGGGTAGCTTTCCTGTAGACAGAGTGGCTCATTGAACCATCAGGTCTCTTTTTTATTAGGACATCCAAAAAAGGTATCTTGCCATCTATTTCGACTTCCATGGTAAACCTGATGGCTGGGTGTATGGAATTGATGTGGTCGAAGAATTGGTCTAGAGCAGGCCGGCCATGTGGCCAGATGACAAAAGTGTCATCCACGTACCTCTTCCATAAGGTTGGGCGCAGAGTGGCAGTCTGGATGGCGTCAGTCTCAAATTTCTCCATGAAAATGTTAGCTATAACCGGAGATAGGGGGGAGCCCATTGGGGTGCCCTCAGTTTGTTTGTAGAAAGTTCCATTCCAAGTGAAGTATGTATTGGTTAAGCAGTGTCTCACCAGGGGGGGTACCTCAGTTGTTTAGTCCTTGATGAACCAAGTCTTCAATGATTGCGATGGTGTCAGGTACAGGAACTTTGGTGAATAAGGAAACTACATCAAAACTGACAAGCAGGTCGTCTGGGGACAGGGAAATACCCTTGATTGTCATTACCAGGTGAGTAGAATTTTGTACCGCAGAGGTGGTTTTTCCAGTGAAAGGACGCAGGATTTCAGACAAAAAACGAGCCAGTTTGTAGGTGGGGGAGTTGATAGTAGAGACGATGGGACGAAGGGGTGTATCTACTTTATGTATTTTTGGTAAGCCGTATAATCTTGGTGGCCTGGCAGCAGAAGGTTTCAACGAAAACTGTTTAGATTGATCAATTAATGCGGTTGAATCAGAAATTATTTTGTTGGTTTGTGTGACGAGGCTGTTGGTGGGATCTCTTTTTATTTTTGTATAGCTACCATCGTCGAGTAATTTTTAATTTTGTTGTTATATTCTATTTTATCCATGATGACAGTAGCATTGCCCTTGTCAGCTGAGAGGACTACAATGTCATCCCTCTTTTTTAATTTATATAATTTAAAAAGCTCATCTTTGCTGAGGTTACTAGCTGGCAGATCATTGTTATAATTCAGTAGGCTCACATGACATTGACTTCTCCAAGACAGAGGTTCTTTGTAAGCCATCTGGCTACCATGAGAGATTCGTTCATGAGGCTATCCACATACACAAGCACAGAGACAATTTCAACCGAGAAGATGGATTCTGGCTTAGCAATCATTGTAAGGATTTGATAAACCATTTCAGGTCTTAATTGATTGTTCACGCTTACGGTGGCTTTCAGACAGCATACATTAATTTTTCGTCTCCCCCCTCCTCTTTTCAGAACATAGATGACTCGTCCTTCTAAATAAACTGCCAAACCGCTGCGCGGCGCTGACGTTTTTATAAAAAAAATAAAAAAACGTTTAAAATAAATAAATAAATAAATGCAGACCGACACTTCTTTCAAATGTTTCTTGCCGTTGGTTTTCACACCTGATGATGACTGTTTGTGTTATGGTCGAAACGTCGTGAGAATTTTTAATTGTTTTATATATATTTTATTATTTTATTGTTTTCCTTCAACGTCACTTTACCGAAAGAGCTAAGAATATATAAATTGTTGATAATTGAACACGTGCACAACAATACATCACGCATCAAATTCCCACTATATTTCTCATACAATGTTGTCCACGCCATGTTATTGCATTTACTTGTGCATTGTGTTAACCCCATATGTAGCACAAACTTGTACATCGCAATAATGTCCTTGACAAATGGAATATCAGAGTCAGCCTTGATACCAAAACCCAATCGCTTATTTTGATACGAAATGTCATTGGATAATTTATTATTAATAGATACAATGACGAGAAAGTAAGATGTATGGTCCCAGTAGGGGTAAACAATTTATAACGTGGCCACCACAGAAATTCCACTGGGAAATATTTATGCATAAGAACCTTGGAATCACAGGCCAACTGATGGTTCGAGTCACCCAGATACCCGTAATGCCCAGTTTCCCTGTTCTCTCTTCAATCTGACTCCAATCACAGAAATATAAATAACATGAATGATCCAACATGCTCTCTGCAACCATTCCCTGACACCAACGAGAACCAATAGTGCCACGTTGATGTCATCTCCAGTTTTTTGTCAAAAAAGATTACCCTTTCCACCTAAATAATTCTTGCAATACATGATTAAATAAGACTAAACAAAAATAAAAAAAAGCAACTGCCTCTTTCGAGATTACTATGAGTTAAGCACAATTGATCATCATTATTCACCATGTTCTATCCAGACTTGGATGAAGGCCTCCCCTTTATCATCGTCGCTGCTTATCTGATCATCATCTTGGCTGCGATACCTCCCTGGCCTGCTACTCTATCACCAGTAGCGTCCATCGGCCATCAACATTTATAGCAATCTGTGTGCCCTGCCCAAACCCACTTACTTTTCAGAGTCATATTTGTTTTCTTATCCATGTATACCTACCTGTGTCTCTCAGTATAATTCACAATATGCGTCTTTGCATGCAGTTTAGATTTTTTTTCCCTCCCCTATTTTATTTTGTCCATATTTCTGATCCATTTGTCACAGCAGCTTATATGTACCGACTGAAATGTTTCCTTCTTTAGACACTTAAGCAACCAGCAATTCCAAGTATATACTCACAGCGACTTTGCGTTAGCAATACCAAAATTAACGCTGCATTTTTGGAGGTTTGTAATTTTATATAGGCTATCAAATATTTTAACTCCCATCAATAATACAATGGATATTACAAACATACGTTAAGAGTAAAAATCCAATTTTCATGTTGCTTCTATGGACATTAAATGTTGAAAAATTTAAAAGCAAAGATATAAGCGTACTCAACATGTTAATGTCTTTTGTAAAGGCATAACCGCAGAATCATTATTATGCTATAAAAAATAAGAATGCAGTGTAGATGTCTTTTATATGAACTGCATTCATTCTGCTGTTCCATTCATTGATGTGTCATACAGTTCCATAATCCCGTGGTTAAGGAATGCATAAAAAGTATTGCATGAGAAAAAAACCGGTATAATCCTTGTTTTTAAATCACATGATAATGGTGGACCAAACTTTTTAATAAAAATGCCATTTTCAATTCTTAGCATCAAATTACTGGAATTTTTTTAATATATATATAAACTTACAAAAAATGTTAAACAGTGTACATTAATAAATACAACAGCAATGATATTGGAGCATATTTTTTGTTTACCTATGATTACAGTTAAAATTAAAATCCTCCAACAAAACCATTTGCATAAGCACGCATATCCAATCGGAGCAAGTGCCCCTTCATGAATGGCGAATGCTATGACGGGTAAAAGGAAACATCTCTTTGTAAGGTAATTGTAATCAGATTACCATTGCTCTGATAAGTTCATTACTACTTCTCATCATTCCTGCACCAGAAAGGCTGTCTACAGAGCCATGCGCATTTGTAGGATGGCATTTTGCCAATTGGGAAGATTTTGAAGGAGAGATCCCTGGGAAAAATCTCTTCTGCAGCCATTCTCAGACACGCGGGGTGCACAGCTTGGCGAGATTTATGAATGGATTCCTATCTCATGACACGATGCCAATAGCACAATCTGAATTCTTTGAAAAACACACGTACAAAAAGTTAGTTTTTTACACACTGAAATTAGTGTTGAGTTTAATTCCAGCAGATGATTATCCTATTTACATATTCGCTGCCTGTTTCCAGTGTTGTCAACAGTCAAATCAGTGGACGTGACAATCAACACATTCACAATTGCTGGTTGCAGCCGTGGTAGGATGGCAGGGAAAGTGACCGCATAATGAGAAAATGAATTGGACGCATGTTGGCGATCAGTCTAACCACTTCCCTTCACACTTAACCATTGTAACAAATTGATTTAATAAATTCTATTCTATTCATGAGTAAAGCAATATGTTCAGGAGCTAAAAGCCAATATCAAGATCTGCTAGCTACGAGGGGGCTTCAGGAGAGTGTTCATGCAGTTTTGCCGTCCATACATTGAAGGAGCGCAGACTACAGTGGTTTACTATATGGTCATAACAGGTGAAATTAAAGGCTAATGCATTTCATGAAAAGATATGTACAGGTTGGCAAATGAGCCAATGGGATGGGGCTTCAGGACTAGTCTGGCGAACGTCTGAACTGCTGTCAGCGAATTGTCACAGTGGGCAATGCCAAACTGTGTACTCCATGGTTTGAGATTGGCAACAGCAATCCCACTGTGACCTATTCTCAATTGTCCATTGGTGTGAGAGAGAGAGCCGTTTGTGCCCTGTGACGCTCCGAAGAAGTTCACCGGCGAGACGATAACGATCACGTGGTTGCCCCCCATTGTGTGTGGCACTTGTTTGGGCCTTCCCTTTACTCGACACCCACGACAGATGTTGTCATCAGGCCTCCAAACTCGGACTCGACACTCTTGCGGTATAATCAGCAACTAATGCCCGAATGAACCACATGAAGTTTGAGACTTAAAAACATGTCCAATTGATCCACCTCATTAGCATTGTTTTTCAAATTGGAGATCTGCTTAGCTTAATAGTATTTCCTTTCATCAGACTGCCTCCAAGAGAGTCTGTTTACACAGGCTGAATGCTAACAGATGTCTTATGATCATATCAGCAGATCCATTTACGGATTAATCCCATTATTGTATAGATAACACATGCATCTCCAATTCAGTGCAAGAAAACATAAAAAAAAACATTACCATCAGCTGCAGTAGTGTCCCGTTACTTTTTTTCCTCACATTTTTTCGTGATTATGTTAGTTATTTCATGTGTAGTTGAATACACATGCATTCTTAAAACTCTACAAGCTAGTGGGTTACTTAATAATGGAGGCATTCTATCTCCACCAACACTTTTTTTTATTCCTGTGTGTATTGCTCTCGAAACATGATCAGGCAAAGGCATAATACTGCACAATAACAGTCAAAAAAGTGAGAATGTCTCCATCTAAAACAAGATTATTATTGACAATATTGCATTAAAATCCCTCCGATGCGTTTTCATTTGATATCACATGTTATTGGGGACGACTAAAATTTTATTCCAGGTACTCGGAGCTTCTCATCGAATTACATTTCTGATGAAGCTCCCGGCACGTGGAACAAAATGTCAGACGTGATACCCAAACAATGCGCGTTACAACCCCCCAAAAACACCCCGGAGAGCCATACAGCACAGCCACGAGAGACCTGCGCAGTCGCATAATACATGAATAACAAACCCAATGGAGGCATATAACATTTGTATGACGATGCAAACTCGTCCGAAATTTTAGTTTTGATTCTGCCCTTCTGTTTTTTCGAACACAGGAAATCCTGGATACACATGAAAGGGCGCGATGACGTGGCACCTTACCGGCGGCGGTGTATATGTGAGCAGTGCTGTGTTTGGTGTGATGAGCTCGGGTCGAACAGGCAAGCAAAACCGAGCCCCTTCCCGTGCTAAATCTGGAAGCGTCTGTTTCTGCATGCAACCCCGGCGGCACGCGAGAGACAGAGAATGGCAGAGCAAACGAGAGAGAGAGAGAGAGAGGGAGCGACGGGGAGAGAGAGAGAAAGGTAGGAGACAGCAGCACACCGAGCATGCAGAAGGAGGACAAGGACACCGGTCGCAGAACATATGGATTCCTCGCACAGCCATAAACTGGGAAAAATAAGTCATGCAAAACATCGAGAAACAACGCTTTGTTTTACCATTGACAGCAGCATCCAAAAGCACAAGCAGGAGATTGGCATTAGTGCTTCATGTACTGCACATTTGCTTTAAGCATATTGCATTAAAAACAATGGGGATTTAAAGGTCTATCGTTAATATGCGTATGTCAATGGTATAGTACAGTACAACGCATATTGGTGGCCATCTAGCCTACAGTTTTTTGGTTTTTAATTCTCAAACCATCCGGTTGGTTTCACTTGATCGTTTTTACACTATAAGCATAATAAACCATGTACCACTGCACGAAACACATCACAGTGGTATAAATTTTTATTTTGGTTGGAAGTTATCGAAATAAAATAGATTTTTGGAAATTTAAAGAGCACAAACAATCTGTTGCTAACATTAACTACGAAGTGTGAAAGCAACAAGTAATCTATAAAAAATGACTGCGGAAATAGTACTATACCAATTTACGTAGACAACACGTTACAAATGCATTGTGTTAAACATCTGGTTACATAAAACTGAATTTTTTAATCTAAGAAATACAATATTATATTCAGTACATTGTTATTGCCAACATTCTGTCTAAAGTTCCACCGATGCATTTATAAGGCTGCCTTTAAGTTGATATTCTCTGCTGCCAAGATCTTCGGATGTCACAATAGGGAGCCTACATTGGTCGGAGTGTACACAGAATCAATCAATTTCTGTACCCAGTCTGTGTACCTGAGGGAAAACGCATCGGGAGATTAATGTTTGGTCAATCAATATTTCCTGACACATAAGGATGGAGTTGAAACCCATAATCAAATTTAAACTTTACAAAGAGATGTAAAATTTGTTTATCTGGATATTGACAAACTCTTGCAATAAAAGAACATCTTGAGAATGTCATTAAATGTGTGCAACGCTCCCCAAACTGGCAATCACCTGTTTAGCAGACACAAAACGAGAGTGGCGACTCAAATTAAACAAATGCTAGAGCTAGGTACATCGTACAGTGTTGACCTTAAATCGAAACCCTGATACCTGTTAACCACGGAATGTCAGGAGAGCTCTGCGCTTTCTTCATGTGAGAAATAGTGACGGTGGAAATAACACGTCTGCGAGAGGTCCGTGCGGAGTCTGAGGACACAAAACACGAGGCGCATGCGGGGCGTGCGACAACCGTGCGGAGGCATGCGCGCTCCACGCTGGGGGAACATCCCCTGCAGGGAGCCACAGCAGCAGCAGCAGCAGCACCACGACCACCAGAGCAGCGCCGCAGAGCGAGGGAGGGCCAAAGAGCGGCAGGAGCATCAGCACAAGCCCACCGCGAGGAGCGCAGAGAAGCGAGAAATGTACACGGCTCGCGTGGATCCGGAGCGAACGGGAAAATAACAATAATCTACTGCAGGTGACTTTATTTAATTGTCAAATGTGCGGTGATATTTTCTAATTAAACACACATCGATGCAACAAACCCGCCCGACTACAAAGTACAATTATCGGGTCAAACTTAAAGATGTGGGAATGTGTTTTTCGAATGGGTCTGCAAAGCTTCCACGTGGGCGAGGCTGCGTCAAGGGGGGCCTCGTGTCGGTTGCGAGAGTGCTTCTGTCTGCCTGTGGGAACGTCATACCTTCCTCCACGGATGGCTTTCCATTTTCTTTCAACTCCTCCAATGTATTGTGGTTGACAGAGATGTGTTGCGCTGAAAAAAAGTCAACAATATAGGACTTTTACATTTTCAAAAACGGCGACCAATCCACACTGACTAGCGTAGCGAAGTATGGTAAAAAAAACAACCCACAACCAACATTATACAGTAAGGCCTTCATACAGCAGTGGATTGAAAGGGGACTGAACATTATTGCTTTTATTATGAGTCAAACATAACTTTAATCACAATTCATTTAAATATTCATAATAAAGGTTTTTGGGTTAGATCGCGTTTATTTATAAATGTGTCGTAACCCTCCACCACCCGACACGGCCAATCAGCAAAAAAAAAGTGTCACGTTGACAAAAAGACAAATAATTCACTACTTTAGCCCACCGGTGTGTTGAAGAGTGAATCCACATTTACATTTATATATCAAGTTTAATGTTTCATATTTGTACCCATCACAGCAATGACTGCAATGCAGCCAATTGCTTGTTAATTTAATTGGGAAAGGAGTTTGTGAATTAACTTAGTATTCATGATGATTAATTGGTTATTCATTTATTCAGCTAGTTAGTTCCAATGACGTTGGAGCACACATATCACATTGAAAGAGTTCCCATAATGTTGTAGCATAGCCCGAGGAAAGGCCTCCCTGGTCATGCATTAATACGGAAGGGATTTAATATTTCACTGGTTACTGGTACAGGGACTCAGACGCTGCAATCAGCTCAGTGGCTAGACACAATTGGGACATTCAGGAAACATAATTCCTTTCGAGTTTTTTGTTTCTAGTGAGCAGCATTTGAAGAATGTCAAAAGGTAACTGCCACGTCACAGTGAAGTACTGTACACCAAACATAATACAAAATAAACATTTTTCTGGTGCACCTTAGATTACAATAATCTTGGTTGTTTCCTAGCAAACATTACTGAAATATACAATTCAGACTGTTGGACAATTTTTTTTAAGTTACTTGTACGCGGTATACAAATGTAAAAACAACAAATTCATTTACTTTATAAATTGTTATATCAATAATCCACCATGAGGTGGAATGGCCAAATGAAATCCTGCTTAACTCGGCACAGAGGCTCTTCACCAAAGCAAGTGTGCATGAAGAGACATTATGCTTTTTCAGACGCTAGTTATTAAAAGTAAGTGGGCGTGGTCAGGATGCGTCATGAAAAGGATTGATGGCTGACAGTCAAGAATAATGATGGAGTGACAGTCAAGAATAATGATGGAGTGCCAGCCAAGTCATGGAACGCATCAGAGAGAATGGTCACCAATGAGGTGCAGCCATGAACTGAGTTTGCATGCAGCTGCTGTGTGGATTATTACATCATTCAGCAGTGGATTGACCAAGGCTGACGATGATGATGCAGGCGCATAAAGTCCCACGCTTATGAAGCACATTGCAGAATATTTGAGGCTAACTATGGCCACAGACTTTGGTTGTACATTAATAACAAACGCAATAATTCATACATAAAGTTCTGTCTTGTAGAGATTTGGTATTGAGATTCACAAATATGCGTCATATATAAAATACATAACTCACAATAGGTACCATGCTTATACTGATTACCTTTTGGAAGACATTGGCATGCTCATGACTTTTTTTGTAACTGTTTTTTTTTTCTCTCGTAATTTATGTATTCATTTTTGCATTGGCTAAGTAGTGGGGTTTTGTTTTTGTACTAATTATCCGTGTAAGGAACTGGATAATTGATGTGCAGCGTTGTGGAATAGAATTGCATGAATGACACTGTATAAAATGAAATTACTACTAGTTTTATATTGAAGCAGCTAAATAAGCTCTACTTAATTTACTGCAATCCTACTTATTGCCGATCGGTAAAAAAAATAGCAATAACACAGTAGTCTGAGAGTTTGCCATTCCAGAGGCTTGTGTGTCATATGCATCAATGTGTGCGCAATACCCAGTGACAGCAGCTACTGAATTGCCCCGTTAAACAGCACAGCCATTTATTAAAGAACGATTCTCTGGGCACTACTCTGCATGTGGCAGCAATAATGCAATTAACATTTTCCTACCGTTCACTCGGACGGCATGCACAACGTTTCTCCCAACCCAGCGGGTGACCCTGAGCAGATGCCAAGAGGAGAAATGTAACAGTTTACTTCCTTAGGTTTCCCCCTGCTGCTTTCAAACTGAGATTTGTGTTTCAGCACCTCAGACTGTTGTGTAGTTGCCACTTCGTAGAATTGACTTCGTGGGTGCAGCTCAAGGCTGTTCATCAGAAATTACTCACCAGCTTGTGAGCTCATGGTGAGTGTCCTCTTGTTCCGTGTCCCGACCACAGCACAGGTGTCACTGCAACGTTAAAGAAAATGGAACGTCACCTTCAGGCCATTTACTGATATCATCAATGGCAACTACCATCACTTAATATCACAAAGACTAATTTGCAAGCGCGCGCGCATACCAAGCAATTAGGCACTCCGATTGAAATCATTGTTTCAATTGCCTTACTCGGATGCTGAATCGACCCGGTGCCTTCTGCATTGCAAGTTCACAGGATGCCAACAATGGGCACATTTATAAAGTCCCCCCACCACCTGTGTCCACCCAGCAGCATAATTGAGTACAATTGGGTGATCGGTAGGTCATGTGTGGTGGGGTAAAGTGTGGGTATTCCCGTTTCTTCCCAGACGTCTTGCGAATGTGGAAGTGCCGGGTGAATACCCGCTAGAGCAGGGGTCGGCAACCTGCGGCTCGCGAGCCAGACGTGGCTCTTTTGATGACTGCATCTGGCTCGCAAATAAATCTTAGCTGACATTTCTTAACATGACAAGTCTTTCTTAACATGGTAAGTCTTATCATGTTAAGAAATGTCAGCTAAGATTTATTTGCGAGCCAGATGCAGTCATCAAAAGAGCCACATCTGGCTCGCGAGCCACAGGTTGCCGGCCCCTGCTCTCGAGGGAGCTTTCTAGATCTTCCTCGAGTGAAGGTTCTTTGGCCAGCAGTGGCGTTATCAAGTAATCACAGGGCTGCACTTTCGTCTTTACGAAAAAAAAATATATTTTACCAGGTAAGGCCCACTGAGCTATATACCTTTTATCAGAAGCGACCTGGCCACAAATGATAGCTCAACGAAGTTGGCTTATCATGTGGAAATGCATAGCAGCCAAATACTCTAAACACATGTTGATTCTAAATGTGGAGTGAAAAACCCAGAGATAAAATGCACGCGACCAAGGGGTAGAACATGCAAACTCCAAATATACAGGTGTCAGGGTCGGGATCAAACCCACGACCTCCTGCGTACCAGGTGATGGAGTTAACATCTCGCCAACATGGCGCCCCATCACACAGTATTGAGGCTGAGATCCATTAGCCAAAGTACAAACTGGACAGAAATGCCAGTTACCACCAGGCGAGACACTTGAGGAAACTTGGGATAAATATATCTTGCAACATGACACTTGGAGTTACTCAAGCAGATGCCAGAGTGTAGTGCGCACAGACGCTGCAGAAAAACGTGCCCGCATTAACTACTCATATCGACATCTCATTAAATAGACACAACGCAACTCACACTAGCACGCTGAACTTTAATTGAATGAAATATTAACTAGAAGCAGCGGGTATATATTATGCATGCATATTCACAGTTAAGTATGCGAAAAAATAAATACTTCATTACAAATGTATACTTGACAAAGTATGGTTCCGTAGTTTCATTTATTTGTTTTGACATATAAATTAGCAGACTGGGCTCTCTGTAAAATATGTAATGTGCCATACTGTTGTTTGCATCCTTTAACATGTCCAAAATGTTTGTACCCTCGTGTTACTGAACCACATTTCTGCGATCCACAAGGGTGATATAACCTGCTACATGCTCACTGACACGATGCACTGTCTGGACAGATCGCTGAACGTGGGGCGCATGCCATGGTTTGTATCTACTGCGTCCAGGATAAAATGTTGCTTCACATGCACTCGTAAAAATGTAATTAATCAGCCAAATCATCGTCCCTAAATAACCAACATGTCAAAGTCGTATGTTCATCAAATCACAGCACCATGTGAACACACCTGCAAGAGGTGCAAAATGTGAACTACTCCAGGATCGTACAAATATCTTCCTAATTCCCATAATTTAATTTGTCAACACAAACACAGAACCCCATGACAAAATTAGTTTCTCAAGGAAACGGAACGTGGACGAGAGTACGTCGACAAGGAAATGCCGCGATGACAACGGCCCGGGTGCCTGATGCATCCTTACATGAGAGCACCGTGAGACGTGGTGACGACCTGGGGGAGGCTCTCATCCAGCAGTGGATTGACAATAGCTGATGGTGACGAAGGGAAGCACACAATGTTCAAAATAAAAATTGCTCAAGATGAAGTTTCCACGGGTATTCTCTCTGCTACTTCTCATCAACGTGACACATACATCACTGTCTACAGAGTTTTCCCCCCACCCCCCCTCTCTCTCTCTCTCTAACCTCAGGCCACTATTATTAATAACCAGCCCAACTACGGCACCTCGCACACACACACACAAAGACACACAAAATAGCTACTCACATTACTATGCAGAAGGTTACTTTGCCAGTGCCAATTTTCTTTTAATCTTTGCCGCTCCTTATAAACATATAAGAATTGGTATTTACAGGGCAGAGCTCGGCTAATACTGTGGAATGTGTTGAGCTCAAAGCCAAGCGGACCCTCGGACAGCCTCGGTCTATAGTTATCGTGCACACTTATTTCACAATAGGGGAGGCTGCGCACGTGAGCTCACGTGGCATGCCGAGTAACGGGAGGGCATCAGCGACTGGAAACTCTCATCAGGTTTTCTGCTTCCATCTCATCTCAATTGCATTAAGAAGGAATGTACCGGGCTCGTGCCAATATTCCACTGGCAGCCATCACTTAGTGTGAGATAAATATAACACGGTCTAGACACACGGACTTCCTAAGCTGAAGCATGAACCCGATTTCCTACTTCTATAATTGAACACTTTTACAGTGTTGTGACTTGCATTGCAGGGAGTTAGCGCACTGCACTATGAACCCGGCCACCTGAGTTTGATTCCTGGTGATGGTTAGCATCAGTGATGGGTGATATCTCAACTGGTTTGTGGTTCCCCTGCATCACCAACCCGCACCGACCCACGTGGTGAAGTATGGTCAAACAACCCCCATCACCCAAAGGAGAGGCCTTCATCTAACAATGGCTGAATAAACGGCTGTACAACACTACAGGATTGTATTGTATTTAATGAATGCGAGAACGAGTGCCGCATACTTGCAACATGAGCTTGCAATCTCTGTGAAAGTGACTGACTATAATGTAACATTCCATTGCAGTGGTAAAACTTCTGGCTGCCTTCAGCCTATTAAAAAAAACAGTAAACACGTGCATTCATTATTTCCAAAATCTGCAAATGCCATAAAAAACTATGCTCCATTAATTATTTTACATATTTGTAAACTAGACTAGAGGTGCATATCAAGTTAAATCGATGCTTCCTTTCTTGAACACAAATGCACTTCAATGAAGGTAGGCTATTAGATTTGGTACGATACAAAAAATGTCTTTACTAAGCTACATGGGACCAAGACGAAAGTTCTGGAAGTGGAAGAGATGAAGGAAAATGAGGAATCCAAGGGATAGAGGGGAATGATAGAGAGAGCCCAAGCAAGGATGTGGTAGAGATGATTTAGATCAGGGGTGGGCAAATTTTTTGACTCGCGGGCCACAATGGGTTCTAAAATTTGACAGAGGGGCCGGGCCAGGAACAGATGGATGGAGTGTTTGTTGGAACTAATATAAATGACATGTAAAAATTATTACATGAAAGGATTTGGCCTTTAACAGGTATGGCCCAGGGGCCGTACTTTGCCCATGTCTGATTTAGATGCTTATTTTGTTGTGGAGTAACTCATGCAGCCAGCTATGGCTCTAGGATTTGGTGTTACATGTTATTTATGTAGTTTATTGTAAAAATTCAATCACAGTCCCTGTGATCACTGTTACGTTGCAATTATGGCTTTATTTTTTGGTGATTTCGAAAAGTTTTTTGGTTTGGAGATGTTTGTTTTGTTGTAGTTAAGACTGACGGCCTTAATCTAAGTTTTCTTGTGGTTGTTGTTTGACTTGCATCCCACTGGGATTTTTTGCACACAGCGTTGGTGTACGGTGCTATTTTCAGGAATATTTTGCTGTTTTTTTCATGGGTTATCTGTTTGCACAGTCACATAGTCACTTTAAGATGTTTTCTTGTTCGTGTTTTAGTTTTTGTGTTTGTTGTGGTTGCACCCGATTCAAGAGCCGAATGGCTCACAGGGCTATACCAAAATAAATAAACTGAAAAAAATAAAAAAAAATAACTGAAGGTAGTGGACATATGAATATGTGTTAATCTCTTCATAATATACCAAAGGGAGCCAAAATGTTATCCTATGGGGACTCGGGAAAGTTTATTTTTATTACTATAGTTTAATTATGAGAGAATGCTCAAAATTTTAATGATATTACAATTGCGAAAAATATTTCATGACAATACTCAATGTATTAAATATGTTATGGAAAACATTTTAAAATATTCTGAAGCAGTATGCAGAGCAGTAGTGGTGCTATCATGTATGGCTAAAGCACGGGGATAATAAACTCGTCATGTTCATAGCCTTTAGTTAATCCACTGGTGGCTGAAGGCCTCTTCACCATGTTGGTCATGTGGTCTGTTTGTACATACCTCACCACGCTGGTCAGTGTGGATTACTGACCCAGAGGGGACAGCTCAGCGATGGTATTAGCCATGTCCGGGAATCAAAGTTAGGCTGCTGGGTTCATTGTGCAGCGCACTAATCGCTGCACTACTCCTATAACCCCATGGCATGTTTAATGTAAATTAAGTACATGTGCAGAAATGTATTATAGGTTTTAAAATTTCAAGAGAGTGATGTGGAGCAACATCATATAAATCATTATATATGCTCCTGAGTTCCAAGAAAAGCATTCATTTTGGAACATATGAATTATATTACATCTTAGATCATATTAAATGCAGAGACTTCTACATTACAAGCATAGTTTGACTATAATACAGCACGTGTTTCTAATTTGCATGGTTATAACTGCTACAACATAAAGTGTTTAAAGTGCTCTATTTCGAATCCATATTACCTGGATATTATTGGAAGAGTAACCATGTCAAGTAAGTGAAGAAACTAGCTACATGCAGTTCGGTAATATTATTAGGTTTCTATCGGCATCGCTAATGGATTCTTGTTACCATATTCAGAATTCTTACACCACGTAGCTTGAATGAGCTGAGCCTGCCAATTTGAGCCCT